TGTGTATGTATGTGTATGTATGTGTATGTATGTGTATGTGTGTATGTATGTATGTATGTACGTACGTACGTAGGTATGCATGTATGTATGTATGTATGTATGTATGTATGTATGTATGTATGTGTGCATGTTTGATTTGTTAGCAAACACCTCAGGATTGTCTGAACTTTGTGGCTGTGGCTGCCGGGGTTGGTGCTCTGTGTTTCCTATGCTGGAAGCATTCAAACGAGATGTGGCGAAACAACACGCTGACTTGAGGCTACCAATCACAGACTTCAAAGCTGACTGGGCTGCACTGGTCGAGATAGATAGCTGCTTTGAGAACATGGTCCCATAATCTGCACGCCTGCCCTTGTTGCCTGGAAAAGATAGGGGCAACTTCGATGGTTTCACTGCAAGATCGAGCCCATTCCCACTGTATGACAACTGCAAGTACGAGGCGACGCTGGCGAATAATTTCAAGGACTTTTCGTCCCGCATAGTTTGTGTTAAAAGTTGGCGGCGGTTCTAAGGATTACACAAAACCACTAGCACTATTGTTATTCTTCTCGCTAGTATGCATTCGCGACCACCGTAAGAGGTCACGAATCCCGATGAACATGTCCAGCGGCAAATCACGAATCTGCTGTGCTATCGAAGAAAAGGCCGTGGACGTCGTTTACAAAAGGCATTCGTTGAGCTAGGGCTTCCGAGAATGGCCAGATTGAAACCTTCGGCAGCATTGCCTGATGTGGGGTCTTTCGAGAAACAGCAGTGCCCCTTTCAATGCATCTTTTTCAGAGCTGTGGAGCACGCTCGTGTCTTGCACATCTCTCCTCTGTTGCAAATTCCCGGTGTCAGCTTGGGTTCCTGGTGCATCGACTTGCTGCCTTCGTGGCATTACGGGCCTCGGAAAACAGAATGGGTGTGGTGACAGCGAACCGCAGGCCACGCCGCGATCTCTTCCACATTGTGCCACGAAAGGCGGGTCCGCATGCGAGCTGCCAGGAACACGCAAGTATCGTAGAGCACGCAATCCAAGATTGCGACCCTCCGATATTTGGCCGCCGCAGCTTCTGCTGAGGGTGCACCTAGGGGGCCATCCCCACCGCCGCACCTGCTGCCATGGCTTCTTAGCTGGCAGGGAGGCCATCGGGTCGACTCGCGGTGGCGGCGGCGTTTGCTCGGAGAACAAACAAAAGCAGTTGCAGCCTACCCGCCTCGTTGGGTCCGACACCTCCCAACCACAGTGCTGAACCCCTTCGCCAGCAAGCGGCCGCCCGGGCCGCCGAACGGGGGCTCACTCCCTACCCACTGGGGGTCAACTCCCCAAACTCAGCACCCCCGGTGGCTGGGCCTGGGCCCCATCACGCAGCCTTGGACTTGGCTTTGGCCTTACATTTCACCGCTCCGTGGTAAGGTGCGCCCCAGCATAGAAGGTCAACTCCTCCGGCTTATCAAACGCCTTAGCAAATACCGCCTGAACCGCCAGGTTAAACTCCCGAAGCGACCAAGAAAATCCTTTCCCGTCGAAGCATAGGCCACACTTGGCTCGCTTGGCCACAGGCAGCTGCTCAAAGGCCTTGACCCAGGGGTCCGTCCAATCCCATCCTGAGGTAAATGCTGAGGGGATGGCAAAGTAGAAATGCTTGCGGTTCCGCCCTTTTTTTGCCTTTGCTGCAAAAGGCATGCACGGTCGACCCCGTGATGGAGAGCACATCGCTCCTCGTCAAGAGCACAGCGCATACAGGCTGCCGCCTGGATCCACTGACCCAGCAATGCCATCCACCGTGGGTCTCCCACCTGGCATTGTGCTTCGATGGCCTGCTCGAGCTGGACCAACATCGGGGGCTCCGCCAGCACGGCCTGCTTGTCGTCGCGGGGTCGCTCCTGTCGGGCAGTCCCCTCTGCCACTGGAACTCGCCATGAAACGATCTTTGGATCCAGCGGCAGGCAATTCGTTTCTTGACATTGCTTGCAGAGGGAAAGAGGATTTGCGATCATGAACAATAACAGCTGCGTCTACCTTCGCACCTGAGAGTATACTAAATGCAAGCGGTTAGGACTTGTAAGTTGCTCTGCATGTTGCTTCTTTTTTGCGGGCCAACACTTTGGACTTGCACGTTACTTTTGATGTCGCTTTCAACAAAAAGTGAAGGTTCATGTCTCGCGTCATGGAGGTTGTTCCACTATTGTTTAAGCCTCTTGGATTGTTTGTTGCCGCAAGCAAAGACATGATATGAATTCACTTTTCATTTTGCTTGCTGGCAATGTTGGAAGACATGACGATGTTTGCGGTTTGGTAATTGTTTCGGGAGCGCGAATTCCCACAAGCGTAGGTAGAACTTCAGTCGCAGGGGCGAGACTTCGGGATGATTTTTGACCCTGTGCCCCCACAAAGTCAAAACGTCTCAGCGGCTCTGCACGGGATTCAAGGTGACAGCAATTGCTACACCTACTACCTACCGGCAGGGGGTCCTCAGTGCTGGACTCCTTGTGCGGTAAGTCCGTGCTCAAGCCTGCAGCTGGAGCCGGGCTATCTTCCGAAGAGGAGGAGGAGGACTGTGGTCTCGGCGGCGGCTGCACCTGGGCTTCGCTGGCTCCGCTGGCCGCCGAAGGTCAGGTAAAGCCGGGGAGGTTTCCGAAGGCTCCTCTGGTGCTTCGCCGCGGTCTCCTCGAACACTTTCTCTCCTTGGATGACCGTCCACTGGTGCTGCTGACTGTGCCTCTGAGTAGTTTGATGAGCCGAACACGTTCCGGGGGACTAAGTTCTCTCGCTTGCAGCTTTTGGCGCATTGTATAGTTTTGCGTGCTTGCAATTGCAAGTTTCAGGTGTCTTGTGAAAAAAATTGCCAGTTCTCTGTTTCGGTCTCCAAAACCCATCAAATTCTGGGGAGAAGGGCAGTATTGTCTCCTTCCGCTTTGTTTTCAGAAGAAATCAAGCTTGCTAAAACCCCATCCTGCAAAGCATTGTGTCTGCAAATCATATGAGTCCTCTCCAACCCACGATGATGCGAGCATTGCATTGCGAGTTTTGTGGAGCCAAACCCAAAACCCTAAACTCTAAACTCTAAACCCTAAGCCCTAAACCAAACCATCCTGCCAGCATGGTGTCTGCAAACAGGGCGACCGTACTGAATTTGCGTTCGCATTTTTTATGCCAATCCCAGAAAATTCTGGGACAGCATCGTGTTTTGCGGCGCAGTGGTGTTCAAGTTGTGTAGAAGCGGTTCGGTGGTGTTGCGAGCTCGAAGAAAGCCGGCGTGAAAGGGTCTGGGTTTGCACAGGTTGCTTGGCATTGCAGCACGATTGCAGCCAGCCCGTTCGTCTGGGCTCTTCCACATTGTCATGCTAGGAAACTCTTGTTGTCAGACGGTTTTGCTACTTCGTGAAGACTTTGGTGGAGGCGGCGCTTGAAGTACGCAAGGACGACAACATGGCAGCTTTTAGCCAAGGGTGCTAAGATGTTGTGACAGTAACCTACAGGACCTACAGTACCCACGGAAGCCCGGTGAGCAGTCCATGCCGTGTTGGCTCGTTGCAGCCCCTTCGTTCGCTTCCACGGATCTTGTTTCGCAATGCGGCATGAGGCCGCGCGCTTCGGAGACACAGCTCACAAGGCTCAAGGCACCTGCCGAAGCACCAACTTAAGACATGCGGTTGTTTCCGGCCCAAGTCATCCATTCAACAATAGTCTGCAGGCACCTACGAGGCGCAGTGCCCCCGATTCGTCAGGGAAGAGGGGCGGAGGTGGATGAGGCTAGAGTGGCGGAAGCTTGTCTTGTTCAGTTTGTGCTTGGGGGTGTGGGACAGAAGACACAAAGCCGGTTTCTGCAACAGGCACTCCCTGCTTATGGCGCCCACATGATGGAAGGCTTTCTCGCGCGCAGGTGCTGGAGAGGGCAAAGAAACCAAACTCACGGGCATCCTTGCCAGATGTGCTGTGGCGTCCGCTTCCTGCCAGGTGCGGCTTCTGAAGTTTGAGGACTTGATGGCCATTCGGCGCCTCGGCCAGCACCCGCCATCACGTGCCGTGCGTTGTGCATAGACATGGGTGAACGGCAATTCCGAACGGAACGTCTGCCCAGCTTGCTGCGCACCAGCAGTGCGGTACAAAGAGGTCTGACGGCGTTCCATGAGATCCAGGATTTCATTGCTCGCCATGGGCTGGCATCTGCTTAACGTCCTGCAAAACCTAGATGCGGTCGCCTCGAGGGTCGCCGCAAACTTCGCATGGCCTACTCTGAGCATTGCTCCTCTATTGAACGGGGCACTCTTTGGTGAAGATGGCCCGATGACAGCACCTTGAGGCCAGGACGCCGTCGTAGACATCCACTCCAATATGCAGGCGCTTGTGAGCCCGCCAGGCTGTGGCCTTGTCGACACTGGTGCGACAAGAAGCCAAGCCGAAGGTCTATGTTTCGGGTTGACATTGTCTGCACCACGTTGTTCCAGGCGACAAGTGCATGCAGACGGGCTGAGTTGCGGGCGACGACAAGCACCCGAAACCCAGTGCAGCACTGAATGCTCGGGTTGAGAGTGTCTGTAGTCTCTAGGGCCCAAGGGGCCGTACGCCGTACGCCAGCTGTTTCCATGGGTTTTCTTCTGTAGGGACTGGGCGTCTGATGCCAGATAAACAATTCATTGCCAGAAGTACAAAAAGCCGCTTGATCCGAACTTGCGCATGTGCAGCTGCTCAATGTGCTTGTGTCCCAGTCCTCAAGGAAAGACTAGCACATCTCGTGCTCTCAGTGCTGCTTCTCCGTTGATTATCTTCTTCCAGCATGGTTTGAGCAACAAGCACCTGGGGGCTGTTCAAGATTATGGTCGCTTTTTGGGCTCTAGAGTAGTATAGTCCTTATTATATAGGGTACCCAGAAAGAGGCCATAATTTAGAACAACCCCCACCTGACTGATGGGGTCTCTTACATGCATCACGATGCAGCCTCCAGCCAAAGTTGGATGCCTTCTTGCGCTGAAACTCCCCCCTTGAGAAAGGATAATTGCCTAACAACGAGCCGTACTGCCGTACTGCAAATTCCTCGAGGGGCCTAGCAATCTTCGCGCTTGGGCTCGATGAGCTCGAAACTCTGTTGAACTAGGTTCGTGGTGGACTCAGCTGTTTGGGCGCTCAGGTCACTTGGTCCCTTCGCTCGTCGAGCCTCACCTCGCAGCTCCTAGGGCATCGGCAGTTTCGGCACAGTCTCGCCGCAACGGCATGTCTCCGGCAAGGCTTGGCCTACAGCTCTCCAAGTGCACACGAACAGAAGCGTCGCGAAGCCGAGATTGACTTTGACTTGGGACTCCGATGCACGATAATTTCGTGCCAGGCCTTCGGGCCTTTTTTAGGATCTTCGGTTCAAGGGCCGTTAACTTGGGGCTAAACATCGGGTTTCGGACTTACACATCAGACTCCAACATGTTGCCAGAGAAAAGCCTGAGGTCGCAATGCAGGGTAGTTTGCCTCCGAAAGGGCCTGTGGAATCTCAGTCATGTGGACTCTGCACTTGTGCAGGGCAACAACGATCGAGTTTTAGGCAGCTTGGACATAACAGCCTGGGCACGCAGACAGCGAGCTCGTGCCTCCATCGCAGAAACCAGCAGCAGACGCCCATGCCAAGTCGCTTCCGTGTCGTGGGCCATGCTGCATGGGATCTGGACTCCGCTGCTGTCTGTGCATGAAGCTCAGGACGAGGCCTGAGTCACCTGCCTTAAGGCCTTGCACCTCAGCGTGGCCCAGCGCTGCGACTTTCCTGAAAGGTGCTTTGGGCCGGTGCTGAGCGGCCGGCAGGTTTGTCAAAACTCAAGCATGGTCCGCCGGGTCGCTTTCATGCGCAAACCGTCCGAGAAGGACATGGCCGAGCCTCTGCCAGCGCGACCAAAGACTTCTGCGCCTCGTGAACACGGAAGCTCTGCTTGTGAATGTGCGTCCTAACTGACGTCCTCCTCCCTCGCTTCTTAAAGGTTAGAAGTATGGGCCCCCCAATATGGACCCTTAGGCCTTTCTAGGGACCCTTATAAGGGCACGTATTGGGTTTTTTTAGTAGGTGCATAAGGATCTTGTGTGCCTTGTCCCACGAGGATTGCCCGGGTTCTGTCATAGCGACGGGCAGGAACCGCATCGAGCAAACCAAGCCGCCCTCACCATTGCCACGCCTTCTGCACGTCGCCAGGTGCGCGTGCTAGACTGGCGCCCCACGCGGGCGAAGATCGGGCTCTACCATAGGCTTGTCTTTCCGTGTCAAGACGCCCCTTGACCGGAGTCTGATTCTAACTTATTCGCTAAACTGCAGAATGTAAGTATCTAGGCTCGAAGATGTCTCATCTGCGTCATGCTTGACATGAGTGCAAATGGTTTGGGCCTGCGAGCATCTGTGCAAGCTCGAAATCCAGGAGGCTGGGCTAGTGCGCCTTTTTCTGCAAGGCCCGGAGTCCAAAATCAGCTAAACCCTCAACCCTAAAACCCGACACCCTCAATCAGCATGGTAGTCTGGTGACGCACAGCTAAAAGACACAAGGGTTCAACAAAAGAAAACCCGACACCCTGGTAAACCAAGAAAGCGACTCTGCACCGCTTTCTTCCAAGCCAAGGCATCACGACGACTGGCCTCCTTGACTGTCCATAAACGATAAACCCTAAACCCCCATGTGGGTAGTTTTCTAAATAAGGGCCCCTTTTAGGCTCCTTTTTTTACAAGGGTGCCGTACTATATTGGGGACCTAAGAGGGGCCCCTAATTTAGAGAACTACCCATGTACCGTCCCCGGAGCCTGCCCAGAGTCTGTTGCCAGCTGTCTCCGAAAGGCCAAGGCTAGCGGCTCGTTGCTGCCACCGCTTATAATTTAGGCTTGAGGTATTCTCCCCCCTTGCGCATCCCACTTAGTTTTAATAAATGCCGCAAAAGGGGGGTAGTAGATGGCTGTTGGCATTATTCTTCGATGTTGTTTTGCTTCTTGTCAGATCTGCATGCAGCGTGCTGTTAAATTGGCGGAAAGCACATCTGAGGGTTACATGTCGATGGGCAGCACATCATGAAGTGGCCCCGTGGCGCTGCTACAGCTCCTGATCATTCGGTTTGCTGCGTATCGTGCGGGGACATTTTTCAGGCACCTCCCCTGTTAAGCATTGGTGGATCATCATTGAACCCCAAACCCTAAACCCCTGTTAAGCATTCGTGGATCATCATTGAATGTAAAAGGCTTGGGGCTGAGTGCGTCCTGGGATCTGCGAGTCCAAAAGGAGCCCCAGGCCAGCTTTCGCAGAAAGGTGGCTTGCAGCTGCCAGAAGGGTTTAGGGTTTAGGGGGTTGTTATCTAGGCTCGAGTTCTTCTCACCAGCAGGCTTGAAATGCTTGCAAATGGTCTGGGGCTAGTGTCGTCGGGGCTTTCTTCCAAGCCCAGACTTCGGGAAGCCTGGCTCCTTTGACTGTCTCTGCTGCCTTGGCCCCCGAGACAGAAGGAAAGTCGCAGGACCAGCCGCACCGCGCACGGCCGCGAGGTTTGTCGAGCCGCCCCTTTGTCCAAGCCAGCTCTGCCTGCGTTGTCAAAGCCGCTCGAGCGCACGGCTGAATGTCGGGGGCTGAGAGTGTTGCCGCATTTTCCTTCCAGCAGCAGGCGTTAGGCGTTACCTAAAAGAAGGCCGTCGTAGGGTCTGATGCCAGTGTTCTGCAGGCTACGGTAGATTCGAAAAGCTGGGTTTCAACTCCGAGTGGGGTCTTTGGATCATTTCTTCAACCAAAAGCCGGGCCGGTTCCTATCAAACACCGGCGCTCTTTAGCCTTCCGCACAGCAAGTCGGGCCCGATGCAGGTTTTCAGATTCGCTTGATTTGCTTCGATGTTGACGCGCCACCCGCGCGTGCTGTTGTGCCAAACTTCTGGACTTCCCGAGGACGTGCTGGCTGCGCTTGCTTCCGAGTCCTGAAAAGCAGGACGAGCGCACGGCCTTCCCGCGAGTCATGGTGGGCTGGTTGAGGATGTCGCCGGACTGGCAAGACAAGAAAGGCCCTTGCTGAGTTTCCATCCTGAACCCTCCACCCTAGACCCATGCGCGTATCAGCTGCCGCGAGGTTTGTTGAGTCGCCCCTTTGTCCAAGCCAGCTCTGCGTGCACGAAGCCGCTTGCAGCCGAGGGTACTCGTGGTGCTGCTTCAGAACCGCATGGCCTGCCGCATGCCGCGAGTTGCAACCCTGCTGCCTGCAGCTGTTGGGCAAGATGCAAGGCTGTCATTTCTCAAGGCATCATCGGTTCTAGCACGAATGTGAACATCCGGCGCTTGTTGACGTTGCTTCAACACCGCATGGCCTCCCGCATGCCGAGATGGGCGAGACACAAGGCTGTCATCTCTCAACTTACCATCACTAGAAGGAATGCAGACATCGGATGCAAGTTGCTTCGGAACCACATGGCCGCCCGGATCCGCTTTGGGGGTGCCCAAGGGCACCGAACACCCGAGTACTTTCTGTGTCCACAGACGGCAGTCCGCCGAGGATTCGCTGCAGCCGGATTGCTCAGAGTATGAGTGTCTGGCGTGGAGATGGGATCCTGCTTGTGCAAATTCATGAACGGATTTTAGGGTTAAGGTTGCTCGGCATCCGCAGTGAAAAAAGGCTGGCCGAAGTTGTCGCTTGTGTTTTCCGGTCCAGTAAGCAATCTTTGTACACAGGAATTCGCACCACATGACCGGATTCGAATGTTGTAGGACCGCGAGTTGTCGTCAGCAACACACCTATCTCGAGTGTACCGCTTGGCATTGTACAGCTTTCAGCTGCGTTCTTGGTGGGTGGCTTATGGTGATTGATGTTTGCTGCCTTGGTTCCCAGTTGCCGATTCGAGAGCGTACCAATTTGGCACAGTGTTGACCGAACTATCAATCGAGCAACAATTTGTGTATGAGATTTGAAAGACGAAAATCACGAGGAACATTGGGTATGAAACATACGATGCCTCCGGCTCAAGCGTTGGAGAATGTTTTGCTCTCGGGACTTCGAAGAGTAGTTCGTGTGTTTGCGGCTGATGCCTGCTCCGCGTCCAGCGTCTGCTGGACGGCCGGCAGCCGCACGACCTGCATCGCCAGGCAGAAGGCGGCTGGGTGAGCCCAAGTCTGGCAATGAACCGGAGTCTTGGCGCATCATAGCATGTGTTTGTGCATCCGAGTTGGGCATGTGCCAGTGTTGGACAATACATTCGAAGGAGTTCGTGCCACCTTCTCCTTCGACCTTGCCGATCTTCCATTTCAAAGCTGCCGCTATGCTAACGCTGCCACGATGCGAGAAACAAGCAGACACACAAAGCCATGCGAAGTCGTTCGGAGCCCACATGCTCAGGAGTTGACGCGACACCAAGAGCGAATCGAGACAATCATCAGCGAAATGCTCGTGCGCATTCCAGAGGTGACGTCCCAGGCTGGCAATTACACATCTCCGAATTTGCGGCTGGGGCACTGTAAGCGAACTTTTGTTGCTGGTGTTGCTGCAGGCAGTAAGGGACGAGCTGGGCAATCTGAAGTTACCGCAGCTGCCTCGGGACATGCAGTCTGAAGGTCTTGAAGGTATTTTGGAACGCATCCCGGGCTGAGGATGAACAGGCAACGCAGCTCTCTCAGAATGTCGCAACGCAGCTCCCTACAACTTACAGGGAGTGTTGCAGACCTCCCAGGCGTGCCGCAGGCAGGAAAGAATCAGGGTTTACATGTGTCTTTCGTTGAGGAGCAGTTTCGGTGTTACCGGTGAAAAAAAACCGTTTGTCCAACTTGTACTCCACAGCCTGTGTAAGCGTTCTTCGTCAGGTATCATTGCATGAGCCCCTCGGGGAGGATGAAAGCCTCAACAATCAGCTGGCGTTTTCACGCTCTACAAGTGCCTCGCTTGCATCCTCAGAACTTGGCACGAGCAGCAGAAGGCAAGCGTACCGGAGCTCTGTTCAGCCTTAATCAACGAAGCTTGTGCTACATGGGTGTCACCGTGACAAGGCATGGCCTTGCTTTTGCTAGACCCATCGACTGAGGCAGTAATGGCAAGACTCCTTCACGACGTCCATCCCAACAGGATAAACTAGAAGCATGGGGAGGCAACGGTATGAAAATTGGCGTGGCTTTTGTTCCATCAAGCCAGATGTAGTCTGTCCGACCTGTCAGGCATAGAAGAGGAGGCCTGCGTTGAGGGAACATGCGGAAACCTTCTGCACTTTTCTTGTGGTCGGGCTCGTACCTGCGAGGCAAAGTTCAAGCTGGACAGAGACAAAGTCAAAGGTGTCAAAGACCTTCTTGCCTCTTGACTCTTCATGGCCCTTGCTCACGTCGGCACTGCTTCATGGCCCTGACCAGCTGGCGGCAAGGAGATGAAGAAGCGGCAGCTTGATGCTGCGACTGGACAGAGGTGCCAACGATTCGCCAGGATGGTGGCACCCAGATTGCAAGGTATTCGTTACGAGTCGTGGCGGACTCTTCATGTCCTGCCCAGTCAGTGAAGTTGAGGTCGCACATCCGAAGTTTGAACTGGGCTGTGCAATGCTGATTCTAGTTTGTGCTGTCATGATTGGCGTCGAAGCCCACTGGACAGTCGAGCATATTGGTTCACCTGAGCCATTGACCTTTCGCATTCTGAACTCGATCTTCAACCTCCTCTTCACTGTGGAGCTGATACTTCGAGCCACGGTGGATGGCCTACATTTCTGGTCCTGGTCCAACCCCTCCATACACTGGAACTTGGTGGATTCGGTCCTGGTTGCTAGATTCTTGCCTTCATAATTGCACCTGCAGTTTGAACTGGTGCAATGTCTTGCGCCCAGTCCTTCTGCCAAGCCAGGTGGGCTTCTGGAGGAATTGTTGCTCGTGCTGTTATATGCAGCCAGTGTCAACTTGTCAGGCACAAGATGCACGTCTGGTGCGTGAGCAAGCAGTGGTGTAATGAGACATGCCTTCTGAGTATAACCCATGAAACATGAAATCTTCTGATGATGGCAAGACCGGTTCTCGATGCTGCATGCCAGGTCTGAAGATACTTCGGATGGTGCGCTTGGCGCGGATATTGAGAATAGTGAAGGTGGTGCGCTTCTTCTCCGAGCTGCGCGTTATGGTAAATGGGGTCATTGGCTCGGCGAAGTCGCTGATTTGGGCTCTACTCCTGCTGATCTTGGTAAATTTCCTGTTTGGTGTGCTCGTGATGCAGCTATCCGTGGAGTACCTGGAAAATGTCGACTCTCATGCTGAATTGCTGGACTACTTTGGCTCCCTTGATCGTACTATGCTGACGCTGCCACCCTGCTAATTTCTGATCCACATGCTCGTTCCATCATGGACTCAACTCGAAATGTCCATGTCATGTTGCACAGAACAGGTATGAATCAGTCTCTGGCGGCATAGACTGGAAAAATGCCGTGGTCACACTGCGTCCTGTGGGTGCGTGGATGGAGTACATCTTCGCAGCTTACGTGTTCTTCACGGTGCCTGGACCTTGTTCATGTTCGCCTGAGTGCGGTGGTTGTTTTGGGGCTCGCCAGGTGTTCTGCTGCATGAACATAGTCACAGGCATTTTCGCATGGGCCTGAGCTAGTTGTCGCCGTTCTTCTTGCCGCAGATCGAGTTCCGTACACGTGAGCTTCTGAGGTGGACAACGCAAAGGCCTTGAAGGTGGCAGACGAAGAAGCCATGCATCATGAGGCGATGAAGGACCGCATTTTTCGTGTCTGCAAGGGATTTCCGGATCGATGTGCGTTCTCATTTGCGAAGATGCAGCAGTATGTGCCTTTTTGGTTTTGCTTACACCGCTATGAACACAGAAGTGAATCGTGGCCCCAAGCCTTGACCAACGGTGGCCGCAGATCTTTAACTCAAAAACGCTGACGAGGGTGCGGTGATCCTGTGCATCGGGAGAGGCAACGAAGAAGCCGGAAGAGTGAGAGAGTTGCGACACACTGGGATTGAGATACCAAGATTGCATGCTGCACGGCAGGTCAACTTTTCAGAGCAAAAGCTCGGCATGCAATCTCTTCCTGTCCCTGATCATTAAGCTGTCTGTGGAACTCCAGTTTTTCTGCCGTCGCTCAAGTTCAGAGGGACCCCCGGGCATGGACTTTGGATGATTAGGCTGGTCCATTCTGGGGTTTCTACGAACTTCTGGGGTTTGGGTTGCCCTTTCTATTGTGGGCCGTCTTCCTTTGCGGCACTGGCCTTATCATTCATCTGTGGTTTCCTGCTCGCCTCTTTCCTCGCAGTTTGGATTTCCTTCCACATTTGGATTTCCGGCCGGCCGGCCCACCCTGCTCCCGGCTCTCCTTCTCCGTTGGCGGCGGCACTTAGGCTGAGGCAATACGTGGATGCAAGGCGCTGAAGCCGGCATTGTGGCCTTGAGTGCAAGTGTTGGACAACTTGAGGTGACTGTTCGGGGCCCTTTGCCTGAGGCCACGAGGCTGCTTCAACACTTACAGTTGTTTGAGGTGAGCCCTTCGCTCGAGGTTGCTGCCTCCTCCTCTTCTCAGGTACCTGTGCTGCCTTCCAGCTTTCAGGCTGGCTCCCCCTGCTGTGGGCAAAGCTCTGCCTCCCCCTCAGGTCAGGCCAGGTCTCAGCCCCTTTCTTCTTCAGTCCCTGCTGCTCAGGTGCACTTGCAGGGCCCTGTGCCCCAGCTGCCCACCGGTGGCAAGAGTGAGGTTGAGCGCTCCTTTCCTTCGTGCCCTACCTCCTGGTTGGATCGTGCCGGCTCGCTGGGTGCTGCAAATCTGAGCCCTCGGTCGCGTATCGTTCGTGCTTGGCGTGCGGGTCAGTGGGCCCGCCGCGTGCTTGAAGGCCAGTACGCCACTCCCCTGCCGTCTGAGAATCTTCGCCTTGCCTCTCGCTTTTACGCTGTGGTGGGGGGCGGGGACGTGCAACCTGCCTTGTACCGGAGCTTCAGAGAGTTCAACGCTGCCATTGGTCCCCTCGCCTCCTCCCCTTCGGTTTCGCACGGTTTCCCTTCGGAGCTTGAGGCGCGAGTCTACGTGGACGCGGCGGGCCTTGCCTGGGACTCCCTGCGTCAGTGATGGAAGCTGTCCTGCCTTTCTCCGAGCGGGCGCAGGTGTGGATATACGAGCACACGGCCGGGGATGGTGCTGTGGAGTCTTTGGCCGTTGTGCTTGCAAAGCGGCCAAATGGACTTTTGGTGGCCCTGCCTGCTGGTGTTATCCCCGACGACGAGTTGGCCTTAGCCCAGGAGGCCCAGATGGACGACTTAGTGGGCTCTTCCCTGTCTACAGAGGCCCCGGCCCTGGCCTTCGTTTCCAGCGGCTTCTCCCCGGTGCCCGAGCAAAGCCTCACGGCTATCGTTGTGGATTTGTCAGTGCAGGCCGTTTCCCGGCTTACGCCAGTGGCCCCGGATACGCCTATGGACTTGGTTGTGCCCTTCGACCTTTCTCGCCCCGAGTTGGTGCCAGACCCGGCCGTGCTTCTGCAGCTTGCCTTGGATTGGGCGGCTGCCGCTGGGGCCTCCGAGCGCCTCCAGTTTTACTCTGCAGACGAGGGCCCTTTAGAGCCCCAGCAAAGGCAAAAGCGTGCTGTTCTTCGGCTGTCTCGGGAAGATGCTCTGCCGCAGGCCGGCTCGGCTTTGCCCTCAGGAGGGCCGCCGCCAAAGCCCGCAAACCCAAAGCGAGTCACGACAGCCACCCTTGCCAGCCAGCTCGAGAGCCTGTCGTCAACACTTCCTTCCTTGGTGAAGTCCCTGGAGGAGCTGTCCGAGAGGCAGACCGCGATGGAGAAGCAGATTGCCGCCATACCGGCAGCACCGCTCAGCCAGCCTTTGGGTTTAGGGACCCGTCCGAAATCTGCCGCTCCCCCAGCCTTAGGGTTGTTAGGCCCTCCTCCCCGCACAGCCCGTGTCAGCCCTCAGCCTCAGTTACCTGTGATGGGCCAGCCCAGCATAGCCGAGGCTGTTGCAGAGGAGGCGAAAGACGAGCTTGGGTTGCCTACGGCCTCCGCCCCTTTATCCCAGGCCGTCTTGGAGCAGTCAAAGGCCCTGACTGCACTCGTGGCACCGCTGGCCGGGGCTTCCGGCGACCTTCTTTCCGACTCCAGCATCTCGGCCGTCAGCTTGAGTGCAAGGGGAGCCAGCCAACGGGCAAAAATGCAGGAGGAGCTCGCCTCGGACAAGGGGGTCTTCTTTGCGGCGGTGCTCCAAAACATGGCGAAGCGAATGGCTCCGGCCTCCAGCTTTGGAGGGGAGCCCGCAGAGTTGCTGCAGCAGGGGGTGTGTCTTTCCCGGTACTGGGAAAGGTTCGGGGGCTTCGCTGGCCAACACGACCTGGGAGCCATAGCTCATACGCTGGCTCATGCTATGGACGCCCTGCAAGCAGGCCGGGTGAATCAGGCCTCGGACCACCTCGCTCTCCTGGCGGTGTGCGTGGAGCAGATGAGCATGGACTCTGGGCGCGCCGAGCTTGGCTATCAGCTGACTTGGCTCGAAGAGCCACCCGCTTCAATGTTCATGGCCCGCTCGTCGAAGAGTGCAATGCACACCAGGGCTTTTGCACCTCTCGCCTCCCAGAGGTGGGTGGCGATTGTGCTGCGCTACATAAAGGAGCTCGACGTGATAGCGGCAAAGCGGGCGGATATGAAGAAGGGCGGCGCCCCTTCTGCCCCGATCACAGGTGCAAAGGACGAGGAATCCGAGGACACTCCTGCCCCGTCTCGCCCAAAGAGGCCTCCTCGCAAAAAGCCCGGCCAGTGACTGAGTGTGGCCCTGCCTCTCCTCGCAAAGGCGGTTCTCAGAAGGTATGCGGCTCGCCTCTTCGTGCTTCTTCTTGAGACAGCTGGCGGTGGACTTAGGTCGAGGCCCCTTGGCCGAGCAGAGAGCTCTGCCCCTAGCTCCTCCTCTTTTCCCCTTGCCAGTGATCACGCTGCACCTCCAGGCGCACCTGCAGCCAGCCGGCACCCTACTGGTGAAAACGCCGATCCGCAGCCTCCTTTGAATGCTGCCAATCCCCTTTCGTGCTCGAGCCCTGGCGCCTCCTTTGAACGTTTAACTGGCCTGCCTCGGTCTTTGCCTGAGCCAAATCCCTCTGACCAATTCGATGCAACACTTTCTTTTCGTGAGTGGGCCCCTGCTTTGCCGAGGTGGATTTTGAAATCAAGGTCTCCCTTTGCTGCCTGGCTCGCCTCTACCTTTCATTCTCCAGCCAGCCGGTGGGGAACCGCCCCACCTTCCGCGACTTTCCCGCTGCCTCTTCCCTTCTTGGGATTGTTCGAGGGCAGCGGCCCACGGCTCTCAAAGGTTTCTTGGCGTCGCCTGCGTCTGCGGAGGGTCTTGCACATCTTGGTTCTTGCCTTGAACTTTGTGCACGAGCGATTCGCTTTACTCCCTCTGAGCTGCTGTGGAGGGTGCCAAACGCCCACCAGAGGAAAGCCTACGACAGGCTTATGAGGCACCTTGTCGCGTGTGACTCTCGCTCCGAGCGTTTTCCCCTGCCTCCGGGGCGGTCGGGCCCTGAGAGTCTTGCACGTCTTCTTGAGCTGGAGCAGTTTGCCGATTGTGTTTTCAGCGATGGTGCCGGGTCTGCTGGGGCTGTGGCCTCGGCTGACCCTCGTGATCTTGGACCCCCGCCAGGCTTAGGTTTGGGCACTGGCCGGCCGGAGTTGCACCCGTACCGCTCCCTCGACACCTCAAGGCTGAAGCTTACTGGCCGCGGTGCTTGGAGTGCCGAGCCTTGGCTGCAAGGGCCTCTGTGGCTTCCCTTTGTCGAGCCCCGCTGCATGCTTCATGGTCGCTCCATTGCCGGCTGCGACGTGCCTAGCTTTGAAGCTGAGTCTCGCTCTGAGAACCTCTCTCTGGCTTCTTGGCCTTGTTCCCGGGGAGCCTCATCCCCAGCATCTGTCCAGAGTGTTCAACGCCTACAAAGATGCCACCCGGGATCGCCAAATAGGCGATCGGAGGCTTGCCAACATAGCTGAGCGCCACATGCAGGGGCCATCGGCCGATCTTCCCCCTGGGTTTCTTCTGGCCGGCCTCGTGGTGCCCCGCTTTCGTGCACAGGTTGCTGGCTATTGAAGCTATTGCACTGACAGGAAGGATTTTTATCACCAATTTATGGTGACAAAAGAGCGAGCTAGCACCAACCTTTTGGCTTTCTCTTATGGTGTTGAGGAGCTTGGCCCTGAAGTGCTTGCTCGGTCCCCTGTGTTGTGGGAGGAGGCCTCGCCTGCTGAATCTTTGGGCCGCCTTACGTCCCCCATGGGAAAGGCCCGATGGTTCAGCAGCACAGTGTGGCTAGGGAGGGCGCCTCCATATCTCAGCAGAGAGGCATGGGCAGCCAGAGCAAACTCCACACCCATATGATCACCCTGATAGAGTGAAAGGAAGCACGGCACCATCCAGGCCCTGGTGATCGATGATTTGGTTGGGCTGAGCATTTTGGCTGCCTCCTGTGACCCAAAATGGCCCTCCCCCGCTCGCCGGTTGCACCAGGCCGCCGGGAGGGTCTATGATCGCTTTGAGGTTTTGGGATCACCTGGAAAGGACATTACTGGCGAGAGCCTCTTCACGGCAATTGGCTGCGAGATTGATTCTCGTAGGCCTTGTGTCAGGCGTGGCCTTGTGACTGCTGCTGCCCCCTTGGGCCGTCGACTGGGCCTGGCTTCCCTTAGCCTCCGTGCGGCCCGGCTTGGGGTTACATCTTCTGGGCTTGTCTCTCGCCTCACGGGAGCCTGGACTTCGGCTTTCCTCTTTCGGCGGTGTTGCATGGTAGTGCTGTCTGAGGCCTTTGCTGTTGCAAACCGGGCTGCCGAGGAGCCTCGTCTCAGCAAGCGGCCTGTTGCTTTGTCCCGCCGCCTGGCCCAAGAACTGGTCCTCGCCTCAGTGTTCTCTGTTCTTACCTGTGCTGACCTCACTGCTGAAGTTGCCGACCGCGTCTACGCGACTGACGCCTCCCTGGCCCGTGGTGCTGTGTGCTCGTGCCCCGTGCCCACTCAGGTTGCAAAGTCCTTGTGGCAAAATGGTGACAGAAACGGTGCCTAGTCTAGGCTTGAGGAGGGGCCTAAGGTTCTTCTCAGGGCTGCTGGCCTTGCCCCCGAGGAGGAGGATGTTGCCGAGGGCCCTTGCTCCTCTGCCCCATTGAAGCAGGTGCCGTTTAGGGTCGAGGTCCTCGAGATTGGCTGTTGCGGCGGTTTCTTGGGAGGCCCTGGCATAAGAGATGGTGTTGACCTTGGCCCTCTGATTTCCCCAGCTGCATCGAGGCATTATGATGTCCTTGCTCCTTCCTTTGCTGCTTGGCTTAGCGATATGCTTCAAGGGGACTGGGTGTGTGGACTTTTGCTGTGCCCCCCTTGTGCCTCCTGTGCCACTGGGCCCTGCCACGCCGGCTGGAAGCGCTGTTTGGGCTTCTTTCGTTTGGCCTCCTCGCTTGGTGTTCCCTGCCTGCTTATGTTCTCGGGCCCTGCCTGCCATGCCTACGGCCGTGAGATTGATAGGCATGCCCTTCTCCTCCCGTGCGAGAAGAGGTGGCTGTCCTTTTCCAAGCTTGGTGCAGAGGGACCTGGTGGGTTGTTGTGCCTGTCTGCTTGCCTCGACGCCGCCGCCCTTGACTCCTTCTCTGGTCCTCTCGATGTCGAGGCCCCCTCTCATTTGGGCCCAGCTGAACGGGAGCTCTTAGGGCGTGAGCTTCTCCGTTGCTTCTCGCGTGCCCTTTTGGCCCAGCAGGGACCCTCAGAGAAGGTTGGCATTGAGTCTGTCGCTGTAAACGATGTTCTTGCCGAAGGAAAGTGGAGGGTCGATACGGTCCTCCCTTGGAAGGGCGACTCCCACATAAATGTGCTTGAGCTTGCGACTGTTGTTGCCTTGCACCGGCAGCTTGCTACTTGGCATGCCGACTCTCGGGTCACCATTCTCGTTGACAGCCAGGTCGCTAAGAGTGCCGCCGCTAAGGGTCGATCCTCTTCGCGTTCTCTGGGCTTTGGCTTGATGAGATCCTCGGCCCTTCAGGTCGCCTTTGGGCTCTTCGTTGCCTACGGGTTTGCACCTACTCGGCTCAATGTGGCGTCTCGACGCCTCTTCGAGCTCCTTCCTGCTCCGGCTTGGCACGCTGTTTCCGCTGTGCGCATGCGCCGCCCCTTGGCTTCTTGGGCGCGTCTTTTTCTCCTTCTGGCTTTTGACTCTCCCTCCGAAAGGGCCTTCCTCGTGTCCCTGCTTGCGGGGCCTTTCTCGTGCTGGCTCCCTGGTGACGCCCATGGCCTTTTGGACTTTGACTCCACGTTGGGCTTTCCTGGTGAGGGGCCACTCCTCCTTGCTCGGGGGCCCTCGGTGTCCTTTGTCAGCCTTCCTGGCTGTTCTCTTTCTACCTGGTCTTCGGACCCGTGTGCTAGCTCCCACTCTTTTGACTTCGTGGTTGAGCTCCTTTTCCTTTGCAAGGCTGCCGCCTGTTTTCTTCCCTTGTTGGACTTTGACGCCACCTTGGGCTTTCCTGGTGAGGGTTGGGGGCTGTTCAGGGTTTTAGCCTCTTTGTCGTGCGCCATGGCCGTCGTTGTGCCGAGTACACCAGCTGAACACGAGAGGGCACGACTGAGGTCACCAGTGCTGTTGGTTGCTGACCGTGTGGTCAGACCAGTGCCGAGGAGTAACCGGGAGAAGCTCGCCACTACTTTTGACACCTGGCTTTCTGAGAACCACGGGGTCTCTTTGAGAGACCTGCTCAATGGTGCTGGGGATGTTTCTGAGAAGGTGGCAAACCTCTTGGTTGCCTATGGTCAGGCACTTTTCCGTGGAGGCCAGCCGTACTACAAGTACTCTGAGACTATAAACGCGGTTGCCGCTCTAAAGCCGAGCATCAGGCGTAGCCTCACCTACGCCTGGGACCTCGCCTTTGCCTGGTTGACTGAGGAGCCTCACTGCCATCATAAAGCAATGCCGCTTGGTATTCTTTTGGCGGTCCTCAGTGCTGCGTTGGCGTGGGCGTGGGGATGGGCTGCTGAAGCTGCTGTTTTTGGCCTGGCTTGGACCGGTCTCCTTCGGCCGGGGGAGGTGCTCAGCGCTAGGAGAGCTGATCTTATCCTCCCGCGTGACTCGGCTCCTGGCACGAAGCACGCGCTTTTGGTTATTCGTAACCCTAAGACGCGAGGCAGAGCGGCGCGCCACCAGAGCGCGAGGGTTGACCCGTCGGACATCATCGAGCTTCTCGATGCTGTCTTTGGAAACCTTCCAGGCCATGCCTCTTTATGGCCGCAGTCGGGCGCCACCTTGAGACGACGACTCGAGCAAATCCAGGAGCGCCTCGGCCTCGTCGAGGCTGGTAAAACAGCGTTTGACCTCAGCTCCTTCAGGTCGGGAGGCGCCACATGGGCGCTTAGCGTCACCGAGAACTCCGAGCTGGTCCGCCGAAGAGGCCGTTGGCTGTCTCTGCGCGTCATGGACATATACCTGCAAGAAGTGGTGGCTATAACATATTTGCCTTCTTTGGAGTCGCATACCCGTGCCTGCATCGACTGCTTGGCATCAGAGTTTTCCACTATCTTGCAGCGCGTTATTTTCTTTATGGCGCGTGGTATCCCGCGAGCGGCCTGGTTTGCACTCCTGCGGCCCCCTTCTTGAGCAACTGCATGAAACTGGTGGAGTCTGTTGAGTTGTGGGCTACAGCAAAGGACGGTCTGGATTCGTACAGCGGTGGCTGGGCAATCCCCCGACCGACGGGTCCCGTGGATTGCCCCCCACCTCGGGAAGTTTTTCAGGTATAGCCTTTCGCTGCCCTGCAGCTCAACGAACTCTTGCCTGGGCTGGCGAGAAAAAGGACTGTGAAGCTCGGCTGCTTGATCATTAAGCTGCCTGTGGAACTCCAGTTTTTCTGCCGTCGCTCAAGTTCACCCGCCCGCCCTCCCGATTCGTACAGCGGTGGCTGGGCAATCCCCCGACCGACGGGTCCCGTGGATTGCCCCCCACCTCGGGAAGTTTTTCAGGTATAGCCTTTCGCTGCCCTGCAGCTCAACGAACTCTTGCCTGGGCTGGCGAGAAAAATTTAAAAGGACTGTGAAGCTCGGCTGCTTATGTATTGTGTTCTGTCCGCTGTAGCTGTTACTCAGGAGCCAGTGCCACAATGGTTCAAGTTTAGGTGTAGTTTCGCCCCTCAGAGTTGCTTGTCGAACTCCTTGGATTTGCCAGTTCACTTGTTTTACCCTATGAAACGTTGCGACAGACTGCACCATTCAAGTCCCAAGCTTCTGCTGGAGCCACATCGCAGACTCGCTCATCTTGTAGCTTCAAATTGCTCGTAGGCTATGTTTTGGACCGAGATGTTTGCAATTCAGTGTCGCGGAGTCCAAAGAACCAGGATCAGGCCTGTGATGCAAAGCCTCGGTTCAGAGTCGCAGGAGTTTAGGGTTTATCTTCAAGCTTACGCCAGATCCAAGCGTTCGGCTGGGACTCATCGGATCAAGCTTGAGGTTTTGTTCTGGGCATCAACGTCTACTTTTTGGGATTGAGGGTCATTGATCCATTCAGGCCATTGAGAGGCCTGTACTAAATTTCTGAGATGTGAAGGGATGTGAGATGCCGAGTCGCGGAAAAGGAGCAAGCATCAAGTCTGCACGGTCTGCCAGACTCTTGCGTGTAGCCGCACTTGAACAGCGGCAGTCGTATGACTTGCAGCAAAACCTTCACCAGCTTCGTGTTCTCATACTTGTGTCAAGCTGTCGAGCTGACGAAGAAAAGCGTCATTGTTAAAGGCTTAAGGCTTAAAGGTGCCGCACATCCGCCACTATGAGGCAATGTGAGCCGTCGCCGCGTCGTTTGCATGCACTTTCGCAGTACGCCGCCTGCCGCATTGGTTGTCGGAAGGGCGGACATTCCGTATCAATCCGCAAGTACGAAGAAATGAATGTGGTCTTCTTTGCTTTTCTGAAGGCAAAATCAAGGGCAAGCATGCAACACGAACACGGAAGCATAAGCACTCCTGCCAAATCCTGCCAACACAAGACCACCCAGGCACAAAAATGACCAACCAACCCAATCCACCCACACACCCACCACCGACCGACCGACGGCCAACCGACCAACCGAGCAATCAGGCAACTAAACAACCAAGCAACCAAACAACCAAGCAGCCAAACAACCAAGCAAGGAAGCAAACAAGTTAGCTAGCTAGCAAGCATTCGAGCAAGCAACACACCAACAAGCCAACCGACCCACCGACACACCCGCCGTCCGACCGACAGACGGACCGACCGACCAACCCTCGGAACAAACAAACACACAAACAAACAACTAAATAAACAAACAAGCGCACCAGCAGAAATGCAAGATACGATAAACACACGAAGGCAAACACTCGCACGCTCAAGGAAGTGAGCAACACGTCAGCCAAACTAACATCCCCTCCACACAGACTCTCAAGCAGAGAAGACGCCGGCAAGCACACGTCGCGAGCTCATCAGAAGGTAGGCTGATTATCGATGCAGAATCGAAAGCAAGTGTCCAAGATTGTCCAAGCATGTAGCCATCGCGGCAGTCCAGCCGAGACACGTGCACAATGTCTGCTCCGAGCTTCTGCCCTTCAAAAAAAGCTGGAAACATATCTCGGCATTGCCGTGCTGTCGCGTGCTGTCGCGAGCCGCTTACACAATCTGGTCTATTCTGATCATGGTCACGGTGTGCAAGGAGCGACAAAAGTGGATTGTCGAAGTGGCAGCCTCCTGGACTTTGATAGTCAATGTGCGATTAGAGAGAGCAGAGCAGCGAACCTTTCAGGATCTCTTCTCGCGAATCAGCGAAGCGCATGAAGGGAGGTTGACGAAGCAGCAGTTCGTCTATCACGTCACAAACAGCGATAGAATTGCGACATGCTTCTCTCACCTGGGCACCGGCCTTATCTGGCTTGGTCGACAGCGGGTGTTCAGCAAACGTTCCTTTTAGGCATCAACACAGAGACGACGAACACGGACGAGCTGTGGGATCTCTTCGACATGGATGAAAACGGCTGCATCGACCAGGACCTTCAGAGGGATGGAAGCGACTCGCTGAGCATTGTCTCGGGCAGGAAGAGTTTGCCATGGGCATCAAGCAATTTCACGGAGCTGCACGCAGCATCGATTTGTTCAAGATGAGACGAGCTGCTCGGCCCCACTGCTGTTGCAGCAGAGCTGTCACCATTTCGGGTTTTTATCCCGAGGAAGTGAAGGAACTCGTCCGGCTCGTCAAAGAGGCGTGGTGAGAACGTGTTGCGAACTTGGCCATCCATGAATGTCCAGCCAGGTTTCCTTCCAGATCTCGTGAGCAGTGACCGTCGGCGTGTCATATCGCAGAACGTGAGCCCAAGCTGGTGAGCAGTGCTGTATGTGGAGACACTAGAGGTATTTTCAGAAATGCAGAGCTGATGCACGGGCCGTAGCAAATGCAGAAGTCAGAATAGGGTAAACTTGTCTATCTCGTATATGAGCATGTTGAGCATGCTGTTCCTGTATTCATTCCGAAACCCAACAGTTGAGAGAAGAAGTGTATACAGAACAACAGCTTGGCCCATTTCTCAAGAAATGTTCCGAGTGGTGGCACGACATGATTTCAGCACTCATGTATAGCCGAGGGCGTGTTTCTCTTCGCTTGGAAGAGAGAGGTGCGAGAAGGCAAAGCTTTCACTCGCAATCCCGGTGCATGTCTTGGTTTTGAAACAGAAACGCTTGGTGACCGGTGCTGGTGATCAAGCATCGCACTTTGCTGACTGATGATGGTTCATGCTATCCTGATCACTCCTCCGCAAAATGTTCTCTTCCAGCTTCTCTTGCATGTGAAAGCTGGTCTGCACGAAGGCCATGTAAAGCTGGGAACATAAAGGCAAGGAGCTGCAACGTTCGAGTCACTGTGTCTTCCGAATATTTTCAGCAATCCCTGGAAGCCAACAGAACCCAGGTCCGAATGCAAGCGATCACTCAACACTAACCGGAGGGCAGCCGGAGGGGCTAAAAGCCGGCCTGATTTTCCTCGCCATGAAAGCCGGTTACTTGGCTGGCCTTGGGCTGCCCTTCGGAGGCGGGCACCTGATTTGTCAAGTTCTCGCTTCTTTAGCGGATGCTACATGGAGGTGGTGTGTCGCGGTTGCAGGTTCACCAGTGCTCCTGCACCTTCCCGAGGAGAGCCAGGACCGCAGCGGCGCATCAGGCGCGTCCTCCGTCCAGGCGCCTTGGGCCATTGCATGGCCATCGCAGCCATTTGGTGAGAGCTTTCGAACAGGCTCCGAAGCCGAAGCAGGAAGCCAAACCCAAACAAGATGTGAAGTCCAAGCCTACATCGCCGCAGGCAGGAGCAGTGGTGGTTGTAGATGGTTGTAGCATGCTTTTAAGACTTGGGTTGCTGTCGCAACTCCCGAAGCTGTCCGCGGGTCGCATTTGTCGGGACAATGCTTTTCTAAACGACTAGCTGGAGTTAATTGTTCCTTTGGAGTCTGACATGGTTCGCGTCGTGCTTTCATTCTGGAGGCATCCACCGGGACCAAAGCGGAGGAGATCTCATGCATTCATGCACTTGTAGAATTGAAACCGGCAGACGGCCTGCGGTGAGTCTGTGAAGGAGGCATCGGACGGCAGGAGCTTCCTGGAAAAGTGGTACCCCGGCGGCAGTTGAACACACCAACACAATTCGGCAGCCGGTAGCTGTCAGGATCGACACAGACTTGGCCAAAGGCGGGCGCTGCCATGGCCAGAAGGCCCCTGCGGAGTTACTGCTAAGGCCGCCACGCTCTAGCCGCTTGCCGCTAGTCAACGACTCGACAAGGTCTTGACGCGATTCCCGCCAGAGCCGAATGGCTATCTGCATATTGGCCATGCAAAGTCCATCACCATCAACTTTGGCTTGGCACAGAAGCCCCTTGGATGATCGCCTTGCTTGCATCGGAACATTTATACGTAGCAGCATTCTTTCAGTATACGATGGGTGCAACATTTCGGATTGTCAAGCAGACAGAATGTTAGTGAATGGCTCTTGTCATAGACCCGTGACGTTTTGGGGGATTTGTGATTTCAGGTACGGCGGCGGTTGCAACCTTCGGTTTGACGATACAAATCCAGACACGGAGGAGACGGAGTATGTGGAGTCGATTCAGGAGGATGTGTGTTGGGTATGTCAGGCAGCCTCGACTGTGTCCTGCCATCCTTTCTGCTTATGCTTGGCCGGGCCCCGCTGGTCAGGGTCTTGACATGGAGAAGTGCAAGGCTGGTGGCAAGCCTTGGGTGGGTGAGCCCGTGTATGCAAGTGCACAGCTCAGGTGACACTTTGTCACGACTTCATGTGATGTCGGCATTGGTAGAACATAGCAGCCTGAGGTGACTACTTTCAGAAGATGTACGACTTCGCCATCGATCTGATCAAGCACGGAAAAGCATATGTGGACTCGCAGACTCCCGAGGAGGCCCAAGGTAACAAGGGATTGTAAAGGGAGTCTTCCTGGGCATGGTGTCGACCCGACTGGAGGTGCAGAAGAATCGCGGTGGCGGCCCGAACAATCTTCCGGGAGTCCCAAGCTCTGAAAAGCTCAGCCAATGCGAAGGCAATGTCTTCTGCACCTGCTGCACCAAGGTTGACTCGCCGTTTCGAAACCGTAGTGTCGAGGAGAATCTACGGCTGTTCGAAGAGATGCAGGCGGGAAAGCACGCAGAGGGCTCGCTTCTTCTCCGGGCCAAGATCGACATGAATCATCCGAACATGAACATGCGGGACCCGCCCATGCCACTGGAACTTCAAAAGCTGACGAACGTTTGAGCATGACGTGTTGGTATAGACGGTGCTAAGCCTCGTTCGTGCACACATGTGCAAATTGCACCGGCTCAAGGTACCGGGTTCGATTTAGTCATCACCACCGAACTGGTGACCGCTGGAAGGCCACCACAGTTGCAGGTGTTGTCAGGACTCGCGATCTTTGACTGTCCGATTGGTGGAGGTGTATCCGATATATGACTTCGCTCATGGAAATGAGGATGCAATAGAGGGCGTTACGCACTCAATTTGCACACTGGAGTTTGAGAACCATCGTGCTTTGTACGACTGGTTTCTCGACGCTGGCCTGAACCACCTGAATGCACACTTGCATGTGAGTTGTTTCGCGGATGCGAAGATGCAGTGCAGACTTTGATGACTGAGGACAATACGTCAATCGTTCCCAGCCGACCCTACCAGAAGGAGTTCGCCAGATTGGAAGTGCAGGGTGCCTTCACCTCCAAGCGCAAGCTCCTGAGACTGGTTCGCGATGCTTGGTGGCACCGCAAGATGTAGCGTGTTTTTGCCATCGAAAATCTTCTCTGTCCACCTAAGGAGGGGTATGTGACTGGCTGGGACGACCCCAGACTTCTTACTGTTCGGGGGATACGCAGACGTGGTGTTCGTCCTCAAGGAGTGAAGCGAATGTGTGATGCCGCATCTTGGCAAAACCAATATCGTGGCTTGTTCAGTTTCGCTCCTGAAAGACCGAGTACCTTGAATTGGTCCGTTCAAGTCGTCTTGCCTCCGTCAGACTTGGCACGGCTTGATGGTAGCATCTTTCATCTGAATGTGTCGCGAAACATGGAGTGTTCATTATTCTGGATTCGCACGGTCTCCTGTGGCGGCAAGCTATTGGCCAATTGGAATCTTTCGTGGCGGCGCGCCGCAGAGCTCAGGTTGGTGTCAGCGACAGAAACAGCGTGACGCCTTGGGACCTTGTCGAGGCCCTGCCACACGAGTCCCCTGTGGCGGGCCGTCCCCAGCTTGATAGCCTCCGTTAGTCGTTTGTCTGGGCACTTTGCTCCTTTTGCACGCTCTCGCAAGATGCGGACTGTCGTGAAGTCCAGGAGTGCTGGAGGGAAGACTTGGAGCCCATCAGCAAGCGAAGATTGGCCGTCTTGGACCCGCTGGCGGTGGCGCCTTGCTTGCATCCGGCAAGGACAACCCAGAGTCCCAGAGTCAGTTTCTTTTGTGGTTGGTGTCCCAGGAGATCGTTGATTACGAGAAGGAGGAAGAGATTGCAGGTGTCACCGATCTGCCGGAGCAGTCTGCGGCCGACCCTAGCTGCACCCGTACTCTCAGCTGCCGTGCTTGATAATCAGCTTCCAGATGCTTGGGCATCGAGTTGAAGCCATCTCCAACCGGTCGAGTCAGGTTTCTCCCGTAATGTCTTTATTGACCGGTCTGACTACCAGGACCGGAGCTCAAATGTTTGTTTGTAAACGGATCTTCTCGATCTTTGCTCGAAGTGTGAGGAGAATCCGCCTGAAGGATATTTTCGTTTGGGAAAAATCGGCAGCGAAGTCAAGCTGAGATATTCGTATGTGCCTTGCCAGCACTGCCCAGAGCCGCAAGATGAACAGAAGCGGTGCACGATAGAGTCAGCTGCCAGCGAGGTCATCAAGCTAGAAGAGGTAGTCAAGGATGCAGCGGGTAAAGTGGTGAAGCTCAAATGCAGCCCGCTTGCTGCACTGGCCAATGTTTGATGCTGCGCTACAGCCTTTCTTCTCGAAGGTCATGATCCCAGCACCCGCGACGTCATGCCTGCGGACCGGAAGCCCAAAGTCATCCACTGGGTCAACGCCAAGGAGCCTTGGCCAAGCACCGCGAAAGAGCGAAACAACGAGAGCTCTGCCCCGAGCCGCCCTCGGCCTTGGGCCTTGCGTGTTCCAAGGATTGCTTGGATGCCGAGGCCCGGGGGCCCGGGGGGCTCGAGCTGCCCGTTTTACAGAGAGAGTTTGCTTTGTGCTTGGGTGCCTGGATGCCTCTCGCTGCTCGCAGGTCCGTTTGATCAACCCTCTCTTTCTACCAATCCCGGATCCTTTGCCGGAGGGCAAGGACTGGGTGGAGTACATGAATCCCGAAGCCTGGGTTCAATGTGCTGCCAAAGTCGAGAGAGCGCTTGGCCAATGCGTGTTGGAAGATCGCTTCCAGTTCGAGCGCTGTGGCTACTTCGTTGCGTGGAAGCACTCGAGCGCCTTTTGCAGCCGTTTTCAGCTTACGCTGAGCGAATGCCCGAGGCTCCTGACTACGATTGCTTTGGCACACCCCCCAAGCTTACCTTCAACCGGGTGGTGCCTTTGAAAGAGTCTTCAGACAAGAAGAAGCTCGAGGGACGAGGCATTGAGCACTGAGGGAGATTCTGGTCTTGTACCCTTTCGGGCTCAGAGGCGCAGCGGGCAAAGTGTCTCCCCTTCGAGCTTGAAGCTCTGCAAAGGCGCAGCCAGCAGAAAAGATGCTCAGGCAGCTGCAGCAGCTGAAAAGGAGCGACTGCAAAGGCTTCCACCCGAGGAGCAGTGCTGACTTCGGCATAAGTTCGATTTAAGAAGTTACGACGGTATCTAGATCGTGCTTCGGACGCTGGGATTTAGCATTTCTCTGCCAAGCAGTGCATGCCGAGCGGTTGCTGGGATGCAGGAATATTTCAAGCAAGAAAGAGGCACCTCGGCTTGCTTCCGGGCATAGATCCTTACTTGTCTTGCCGAGAGCCTTCTCAGGCTCGGAGTTTTCCGCATACGACGAGACGGGCCTGCCCACACACGACAAGGACGGCGTTGCGCTTCCGAAGAGCGCCGTCAAGAAGCTGGCCAAGGCAAGCTGGGAAACGGCAGAGAGGGGTGGGGTGATGCCTCTGATTCTCGTGCTGTCCCCCAGGACCTTGAAAAGCAGGAAAAGCTGCATGAGTCCTGGAAGGCATCGCAGAAGTCTTGAACCAGCCAACCACTGGCGCAGTGTACAGGAAACAAAGACTCTGGAGAGAGATTAAAGCAAGTTTCTGCGGAGATCGCATGCACGTGCACTCGGGAGGCCGACAAATACCATTTTCATCTCCAGCTGCTCTGCCAAAGCATCACCGTAGCATCAAGCAAACATGAGTCAGACGTTTCACTACCGAGCAATGTCGTTCAGCTCTATCTTCTCTCGATGCTTCACACTTCGGCCACAAGCGCTCTTGCGGGTCCAAGACTGCCCAGCCCAAAGATGTAATCCAGATCTTGCCTCAAACCTGGCCTTGGCAAATCGCTCCACGATGTCTTCTGTTGGGCGCATGGATGGAGCATTCTTTGTATCCAGGACCGGTGTGTTGCTTGTGACTTTGTCGTTTGTCTGCAATGTGATCCTGCCAGGACAGAGTTGCTTGCATGGCTTAACAGCAGCTTTCAGCCAGGGGCCCGGATCCGAAGCGTGGGCCTCTGAAGAAATTGGAGCCCTCGAGGCTCAGCCTGGACAAGGCGGAAATTGCGGTTGCTCTCTTGGTGGGTCTCAGCCTGGCCCTGGTGGCCAGGTGGAGCAATGCGCGAACGGCGCGGTGTGGTGCCAGGAGCTGCGTCCGGGGGCGGGTCCCGGCCCTTCGAAAGTGTGGTCGTTTGCTGCCCTCAGATCATTGATGCGTGCCATCCCGGAGTCCGGACCCCGAGCAGAGCGCGAAGAGAGCACGAGCCTCCTCCTGAGTGCTGTGAGGCTGTGAGTGCTTTGAGCCAAGGCCGTTTCCATGAAGCGAGTGAACTGGATGGCCCGTCGCCTCGAAATGCGCTGCCAGCTGCGCTGGTACTCCGTGCGTATGCGCATCCCAGGCCAGGGACGAGCATCAGTGCATCCCTAACTACAAGGCAGAAGGGCCAGTCGCTGGAGCGGTCCAGAACTGTTCTGTGTCTGCAGGTGTTGCAGCAGGCTTTCAGCAAGGTAGGAATCCAACGGCACATAGAGGCCAGTGCCGAGACTCCAGCCTTGGTCCGAAGAGCATGGTGAGGCGAACTGGTTGGGTGTGTCTTGTCAGGTTGACAAGTTGGTGCGTGGCAAATATCAGGACAATTTGGAGCCTCAGTTGCCTTAACCACTTTCACCACAAGAAAGGAGATTTTGTGACCGTGCCAAGGAAATGCTTCAGTGGATAAAAAACTACTTCGAACGCACGTTTCAAGGCCGTGCTTCAGACTCTCGGCGTTTGTGGAATTCATCAAACACCTTAAAGGTACTACTTACAATGCGGCAGCGCGCCGCTTCACCGATAACGTGCCGGACTGGGCGAGGCTTCCTGACCCGACCAGCGCTGGATGTCTGCGTTGTCCGTCTGGGCGACACCGTGAAAAAGGCCGTCAGAGGGCTCCAGCCAGCCACTCCGGCGGCCGCTCCCAGCAAGCAGTGCGAACACGTTGGCCTCCAAGGCACGGGCCCGAGCTCGAAGCGGCACAGCACGGAAGCGCTTTAAGTCCAAGGCGCCGAAGCACGGCCGCCCTGTGGCCTGGCGCCTATAGCCTATAGACTACAGAGATTCACCAATTCAAGTGCAGCCTCGAGAGCCCTTCGCGGCGAGGGAGGCGATGGATACCAGCGCAGTCAAGCTCCCAACGTGGCCCTTCTTCAGGAGACTGTCTGGTCTAAACTTGTGCCCGCTTCCAAAAGTCGCATTCCAGACATCCGTTAAAGAGCTGTCTCGGCCCGCAGCAACAAGAGTGCGCTTCCAGATGGGAGCAAACCCATCAGGAATGTTGGGCTCGAAGAGGCAAGGCCCTGTATCTACGGATCTCCTCTTTCTAGCTAACCTTGCATGGCTGCAAACGAGATAAATTTGCAATTCATGTCTTTCTGTGACCTTAGCCTTACTACAGGGTTTTGCAAACGTGGGAGTTCAGTCATGAGCATTCAGGCTTTCAGCTGTTGCTGCAGGTCTTCTGCCGGCTACGAGGAAGCAGGAGCTGCAATAGCAATATCACACGCCTGTGAGGCAGAAAGGGCCATCTGCAACTGCCTGTGTGAGGCGATGTTACCCTTACGCTCAGCACTCGCACAATCCTGGAGCCATCTGGAAAGCATCAGGCGCACTGGAAAATCCTTGTTCTGCAGCACTGTGCATGAAGCCGGGGGCAGTGACCCGTGGCCCCATGGCAGGGGACGGTGTTTTGCTTCCATGGCTTGGGCGACGATAGCAGATATTGGGAGCCCTTCTTCGAAGCAATGAGGCGCCTGAGCTCTGCGCGCAGCGCGAGGTTCCAGAATCCTGAGCCGTCTGAGCAGGTCAGTCGGCCTGGCTCTGGCAGGTGCGAGACATCATGCCGCCTTACTTTTTGCCGTGAAGTTGGTGTTTATAAATTAAACTTTTTCTGAGTGCAGGTCTTCGAGTTGTCGGCGTTGATGCACCTCGCAGACTGGTATGGGGAGAAAGCTGCTCAGCTCATGTCGTTGTAGTGCAGGGTTGGGGGTCATGCAAAGTGTTCCAACAGTTTTGGTCATCGGGACTTCGAGATTTCCGTACATGTCCTACGTCTCCCGACATCCATCCAAAAGCCAAGACGAAAACTGCATTTGCCAACGACGTGTGTGTGTGTGTGTGTCTCTCCAAAAGCTTGCTGCTTCAACGGGGAATTCCGGAGAAAACACCATGATGGGTTCTTATTCATAACCTGGAGAAAAGTCTTCTCTTATTTCTGCCTTTCAAAGAGGTCTCAAGTTGAGCTGGTTCTAGAGTTGCGTTCTCAGTGAACCTGGGGCTGACGCTAGAAAGGGTGTTTGGGTGTTTGGATGAAGCTTTCGACAGCACATTCCTTCCTCGGGAGCTGTGTGGGACTTCCGGGAAGGCCTCCCAACCCCCAAGCCGGAAGATGGTCTTCCAAAGAGTGGTGTCCCACAACTTCTGGCTTTGGGGCGGTACTGGCCTGTTCATGCAGTGTTTTGTAATCGGTTCCTGTGGGCACGGCATCATGTAAGGCATGTGACAGAGGCAAGCTGATGACCTTCACCTGTGCCCACAGTTCCCTAAAGTCTCTACCGGACACACACACACACACTATCCCTGTCACAGTCACTGTTGTCGGCACCACAGACGAGAGCCGTGTGACAGTTGACAGTCACGACCTTGCCGGCCTCCTCCGTCATGCTGCGAAGCAGTGTCAGACTTTGGAGGTGAGGCCCCTCGTTGTTGGCCAGCACTCCCCACAGAAATGCATGTGTGTCTGTGTGTTCACGCGTTCATGCCAACGTATCCAATTAAGTTATTCACGTGTTTGAAATTGATTTTTCATTGGTGTATGTATTGATATCTGACTCACTGCCCGAAAACAGTGAGACAATATCGATGGCACCGAGTCTCGGAATCCGAAAGAAAACCGGTAAACTGAGTTAACAACCATGAAAACGGCTCTTGCATGCCGGCAAAAAACGCTTGCAGCATGCTGATTGACATCGAATCTGCAAAATGGTATACAGCACTGCAAATCACGAAAGCTAGCCTCCGGGGCTACTTGAGTCTCTTATCAACCGAAGGTTGCAACAAGGGGTGTGGCCCCCTGGAGGACGGGTTTCCGAGCCAGGCCTTACCTTGGAGCTGGATTTGCCGGGAGTCCACCGGGTCCTTTCTGGGGTGTCTGAACGCGGTGTTTCAAACCGCTCCAGAAGGGAGAAACGAGCCCCCGATGATGCTCATGATGCTTGGTTGTCGGCTCCGATATCGGTCCCGATGATGCTCATGATCGCTTGCTGGCTTGGGTTAGGACTCCAAGTAGGATTTCGTTGCTTGCTTCATTCTGTCCTGGAGCCCTTTTGCTTGCGGCATCTTGCTTGCTGCTTGAGACTTGCATGATGTCTGAGGATTTGTCTTTCGTCCTGGAGAGCAGCAGATTATTTACATTCGACAATGGGCCTAGAAGACACTGCAAGAACGATCTATTCGCAAAGTCTTGGAACATCATTGCACACCGAGAGCCCGACGCAGCGGCAATGGTCGCGAAACCTAAATCGGCCTCGGCGAGCAGCACAGCGGAGACGAGCCGGCCTCAGCTTGCGCACGCTCAATGTGTTAACCTGGTTTCTCGACATGCGTCCACCTTTCGAGGATTTGGGCCAGTCACATCTGTTTTAACGAGAGTCTTCGATCTATAATTCCTGAAAAGCCGTGGAGTTGCTGCAACAAATTAGTGTTTGGGTTTGCCATTTGGACACGCACAAGCAGCAGATGCTGTGACATCTTCCTCGGTCGAGGCCTGCTACTGGACTTGTCCCATGTGAGGCTGCATGCGTTTTCGGCTTGCTGTTTGACGCAGTCCGACCTTTTGTATGTGTTTGCTTCGGATGCTCTACTGTCCAACTTCCAATTAAAGTGCACGATCCCCTTGCCTTTCGAAGCTGTTAGCGTGCTCCGCAGCAGGTGGCGGCCCGAGATGGCCCGAGTCCGGCGGCGGCTTAGGAGCTGCACCCTTCGAGTGCGTCGTGCCCTCGGCTTCCTCAAGCGAAACCATGCCCGAAGATCGCCTGGCAGTCTTCTCCCTAGCCCTTTCAACCGCACCTGCCGCAACGCGGCGCCCGTTTTTGGCCCCACTTTTTTGTCACCTTTTGTAATGCACATTAAATGGCGCAAACAGGCACTGCAAAAACACAATTTTTTTGTCTACGCAGCCATGCCAGCCTTGAGATGCTGCAGACACCACACAGCAGCATCTTGTGCGCTAAGAAAATGAACAAAACTAAGAAGTATTCCGGCACTTTGGTTCGTCGTCGCTCATCGTCTTCTAAATCTACATCCAGTTACGGTACGCGCGGCTCACGTTCTCGGCATCGCCATCAACGCCGTCGTCACCGGCGGCACCGCCCGCGGCATGGACATGCTCCCATCGGCGAGGGTCCTGGGAAGCATCCGCCTGCGCAGGGCACCGACGAGGGCCGAGGGCCATGGGAAGCATCGGCCTGCAGGGCGCCGACAACAGCCGTTCGCAGACTTGGAACGCGGGCCATTGGAACAACTCGGAACAAGTGGCAGCCGCAGTTGCAGCAGCAGTCCTGGGCGTACAGCAGTGGCGGCTGAAAGGGCTAGGCCGATCACAGCTGGAAGGGCCACGCCAATGACCAGCAATCCTGGAAGGGCCAGGCCAATGAGCAGCAATCGCTGTTCAACGTGTTTGCCGGGCCGAGCAGCAAGCTAGGCAGCAGCAGGCTTGGCAGTCCGCTTGACAGCCCGAGAAAGAAGCGGATCAGGAGGCCTGCTATGACGCGTCATCGCTTCAGCTCCAGGAGATGGCCGACGCTTGGGACATCGCCATGAGCAACGCCCGTGCCGATGTCCATCGCGTACCTCGTGTGCAAAAAGCCGAAGCATCTGGGGTGCAGCCTACACTGCATGCTCCTCCTGCATTCGACGTTGAGGCATTCGCAGAGGATCTCGCGGCTCTCATTCCGAGTTGCCCACCCTCTACTTTACACAACACCGCTACGATTTTCTTGCCGGCAGGCTGCTCCGTCGACTCCATCTCGGAGGTGCAGGCGTTCAATTGGACAGCGCCGGGAGTGGTGGCACGTTTTCTGCCCACATCCCCGGTCAATAGCTGGCACAGGGAACTGGACGCAACCGCTCCGGACTGTCACAGAATGGAAGGTAACATCGCGGCAGCGACGACAGCGGGTTTAGGATTTCGCGTTTCGCTACGTCAGAGGTAATGGCGTCCTCTCTCTACTCAAAGCTCGAAGGCCGTCCAGCGGGCTTTTCTGCAACTGCTGCCTGGTGCGCGGGCTGCGGTGCATCGACCTCTGCAGGTTCGTCGACCTGCCGCATCTTTCCTGCGAGCTACCGAACCACATAATGAGCAATTCTGTTTCTTTTTCCGTAAACCTTGACGTTCAAACTGCCACCTTCGCCCCATCGGCTGCGAAAACTCCACGCAACCACCGAAACGCACGCGACAGGACATGGAGGACTACTGCCGAAAGGTGGCGGCCTTTGCGATCCACCATGACCTGCCATTGCCGGGTCCGAGACTATCCAGAAACGAGGCCGATCCGGGCGACGAAACTACGTGCCAAAGAACTTTTCTGAACTTCCTGGAAGCTTTGATCGTCCGCTGGAAACGGCTCTGGGTACCGTGAGAGCGGGAGCAAAAACACGGCGATCCGTAACAGGCGACTCTGTCAATGGACCCATCTTCTGGACAGATCGTCCTTGCTGTGGTGGCAAGCAGCCGCGCGGTAGCAGCTTCTTTTTGTTAATTACAAGGAACATTTCAGCCGTGCAACATTTGCAACCTCTGTCGACATGTAGGGGTACCACATTGCCACCATCATCATGCATCGGGCTAGGCGGTGCAGCGAGCACCGGGGCGAGTGTGGTCGTGGCCTGCGAATCCGACTGCTTTGCCGGCGCTGACAGCGAGCCCGCAGGACCTCGTGCTCAATGCCACTGCATCTGTTGTTCTGACCTGCATCGGGCCTGCTGCACGTGACCACCCGTGGGTGGACGCTGACGGAACCTTGGCGACAGCACAAGCCTGCAGAGGTACTCCACCAACAGCCATAAAAATAACGACAAAAGCTCACAGTAGCCCTGCCCCTTTTTTTGCACAGCGAACTGTCGCAAATCAACAGTCATGCTTCCTGTACCAGTTCTTTTGCAGTCGCGAACTCAAGAACTGGCCGATGCACTTTTATCACGCAAGCTCTCTCCCGAAATCCCTGTGTCAGGTCTTCCGCAGCAGAACACCCAGAGTCCTTTCAATTTCCCTACGCAAGAGCTTTGGCAAATCTGTATGCTGCAGGGTTGCCGCAGCTGCCGATGGCCATACGCGGCGCAGTGGACGCCTTGCACTTATCCCAACACGATTAGCTATGAGCCTCGCATTACACCCTACACCCGGCACCCTGCACCCTAGACCTTGCGCTCGGCTGTCAAGCGCTGTGTCCGTTGAAAAGCCTCACAAAAGCCATGATGCAGGTTCACTGATGCCGTCAGAAAAAACACGAAACAGGTCCAAAGGCTGTGTCATGGCCTGACTCGTATTGTGCTCGCAGCGATCTGAGTTTGATCAAAGGTGTTGTGGTTCACTTCCCGGGGTAGATTACAACTGCAGTGAGAATGAGCTGTCGCAGCAGAGACGACCTTTGTGCGTTTGCAAGCCTGTTATGTTGCCCAGTCCGTCCTCCCCAAGTTCCCCGGTATGATATCCGGCAATCTGCATGCGTAATGTTCAAAGCGCGGATGTGGTTGATGTAGAGACGATCGTGTGCAAACTGGGTCTTATGGATGTTGTACTGCAAAGATTTGAGTCTTGGGGAGTACGGTGTAGGACTTACGGGTTTGGTTTTAACGGATGCAGGATTTTCACAGGACAGCCATCCTCATAGAGGCTTACCATCGAATTTTACATTGATGTTGATGGTATCGGAGTACCGAAGTATTGCCCACCTACGCCGACAGGGAACATGGGGAGTATCAGCAAAGCGACAGTAGATGTGAACTGGGATATACACGTCCACATCGGGCCATTCCTGGAACTGCGGCCGGGGCTTGTTCACAGTTGCCAGGGACTCGACTTCGTCCGTGGAAGCAGCGTTCCTCGTGAGTATTGCTGTGGGAGGGTCACTAGCAACTTAACATTTCGATGCCGCCACAGTCGCGGCACTTGGCGCCGCATTGAGTGATTTGTTTGGGAGTGAAGAGATTCTAGCAGACGCGTTCATTCCGGATGTCGTTTCGCGGTGATACAGTATCGGTCCCAAAGTCGATGAGTGCATCTTGCTTGGCAGAGGAATGAATGCTTGGTTTGAATACCTGACCGACCGCAGCGGCGCCTTGGAGGAATTGGGGTGTTGCCGCATGTGGGATCGTGGAGCAACAGTGTGACATCCGCTTAGAAGGAGGACGAGATCAACGAAGCACAGCTTTTGGAAACTCGCCGTGCGATTCAAGCCTTGGTGCAGCAAGAGGCCGGGCCCTCTTCGTTAGTTTTCTTCTTGGGCGTCTGAATACTGAGCCGGAGGTGAGTGCACTCTCCGAAGTCTGGAATGATGACTCTCCACGAGCTGGAGCCCTGGGCCCTTTCAGCTGGCGCTGTGGAAGGACTTCTGTGCTTGCCTCAGGTCTTGCTCATGGGGTCCTCACAGGGTGGCTCTGCGGCTTGTGATGCAGCGCTCACATCACCGCAGAGAGTTGCAGGCGTGCTTCGTACCTTTTTACACTTGTGTCGTATCGTGTCGAGTGTCGCCCTCGCAGAGGTATTGTCATGCTTCGCTCCCTGGTCTTAGGACCGCTGACAGACTGCGAGCGTGAAAATATGATGTGATAGTGCGGCAAGGATCAACTGCTACCCAGCAAGTGCAAAAGCAAGTACCGCTTGTGGCGACAAGTGGCGATATCGACGACGCTTGTCAGCAGACGTGGAGTATAAGTCTGTGCAGCATTCAAAACCAAAGCTCCAACTTGAAAGGACACCTTCGCGCTGCCCCTTGTGAAGCGAAATTTGGACAGCATCAAGCAAGAGGTGGAGCACGTCGTCATAAAGGGCCTCACCCATGCTGCAAGCTACAATGCTGAGGAAATCCTGGCGGTGGCGAGGTTTCTGTCTCGGCAGTTCGGCTTGGACTTGGAGATCGCCGACGCTTTGGGGCACCTGCGCAGTTTTGTGGCCAAGCAAGATGCGGCGCTGAAGTCTTGGGGCGATTTGTCCGAGAGTGAACTGATGCTTGCTGCCCGACTTGGTATCCAAACCGCGGCCGCTTGGGACGAAGGAACTGGCAAGATTTGGGAAGTGAACTGGGAGCAGCTATCCTTCCTTCAGCGACAAGCAGCCCAGGGCCTGGGCTTCACGCCGGAGAGCTGGAATGCAAAGGATTCTCGGATCTCCCAAGATCCAGCTTGTGAGAAGAGCTGGGCGGAGCTCACAGAGGAAGAGCGGGCTTGGGCCTTGAAGCTTGGCGTCAAGAGCAGGAATGCCTGGGACAACGGAACAGCACCCGTTTGGGCAAAGGCGTGGAGAAAGCTCTCCCATGCAGAGCGGAAGGCAGCGGAGCAACTGGGCTTCAATGAGACTTCTTGGAATGGAACATAGTTCTTGGCCCAGAGGTCTCCAAGCCTTGCTCGACATCTCCTTGTCCGAAGAGCGAAATCCTGCCGTCTACCCGTCTGCCTGTCGTGTCGCAGATGGTGGTGGGTCGAGACGGCCATCCAGAGTTGACTCTAGACTCTAGCTGCTCCAGAACGCGTTGGATGCCTCGGAGGCATGTAAGCCCCTTATCATCTGCTTGGGTGTGCGCCAGAAGCACGTGGGGCGATATGGATAGATTTGTTGAGTTGTTTTCTCCTGAGACTGGCCTGTTCGACCGTAGCCGGACAGAAAAGTCGAAAAGCGCGCGGAATTTGAGCTCCGAAGCCTTGGGCTCGGCCCAGCCATCGCCCATGTTCCGACTGGGCCGCCAGGAGGAGCACGAACGCATCCGGGAAGAGGTGATCGACTTGAAGATTACAGAAAGGCTCCCAGTGACTCAGGTAGTGCGAGCAATGGACGCTTACAGAAGGCTGCATCACCTTTAGGTCGATGGGTTGGAGACAGAGCGGGACTTCTACTTCCAAAAGCTCAGAGACATTGAAATCATGTGTCAAGCCCACATCTGAGCACATGCATGCGCATGCTGTCCGGCTGTAGGGGCGGAGCAGGTCAGCAGCTTGTACAGACTGAAGCTCAGGCATGGGAAGAGAACCCTGACGGCAACATGACTGTCAACAAGTTTGTCGAGGAGGTCCAGAACATTCTCTATGCCAAGGACCAAAGTTCGATTCGAAGCGAGCAGCTGGCAACCGGTGCCCTTACCCGCCTTAACCCATGCCTTAATTCTCTCTCTCTCTCTCTCTCAGAGGACGACGAAATTGGAGGCGGTCCTGACGCGGAGGCTAGCTAGTAGGGGTCGCTAGGACTAGGACCGCAGAGTGGATCACCAGGTCAGTTCCTCCGAAGTTCGATCGCACTCTGCGAACCCCGAATCTCAGCCCTACTTTCTGAGTGCTTTGGAAGGCCAACATTACAATCTAAGGGTGGACCTTATTCGACGGGTCTACATGGGTTCTTCACATGGAGGCATGAAACTCTGCCTCCGTGTGCGAAGCAGTTCAAGGCGACTGAGGAAAATACTTTCTGCTTCAATGCAGATCTGACGTGAGTATCAACATTCGCATGAGCATGAGTAGTACAGCTGTGCTCTCCGCTATCCACCTTTGCATTCATGCATGGCAATTGCACGGTGGCTCGAGGGGTGCAGCAGATGCGCCCTGTTTACGGACTCACTCCCTTTACATACCAAGGCCCACTGAGTCAGCTTCTGCGAGGCAAAGTCTCGAATTTTCGGTTTGCGGGGAGGTCGTGACGGCATGTCGCGTTGAAGACCCTGGCAGGACTTGAGGTTGTTTCTCTTGTGCACAGGAAGCTGGAGTCTCGAAATACCAGCATGCGTCGAAAGGACCTTCTTGGTCTCGAAGAGGCTAAACACGGCGAGATCATGCAACTGGAATGCAGCGGAGAACACGAGAGCTTGTCGCGACGAGAGAGCCCCGGGCCCCGAGGTATTGTCCGAGTGGCAAAGAGGAGTGGAGTGCGGATGAGCTTGGGCCGTGGCCTCGATGAGAGGAAGGCTTTCGGGCGCGTGGCCCCGCGGCAGAGCGCTTCTGAGGCTGTCCGAGCAGAGCCCGCCGCCACCCCCTCCGGGCAATTTAGCCGGGCCTTCAACGTCTTGCGATGATCGAAGATGCCTTGGCGATGGAATGATGAACTCAGGTCCAATCGGCTGGCTTCGTAGTTGGTTTGGACGAATTCGATGGTTGCCGCCTGAAAAGGGAAAGGGTGGCGCAGGCGTCTCAGCCCGGCCTGCTGATCTCGTCTTGCAGGTGGTGTCACCAGGGGCTCGGTGGGAGTGTGGCCTGGACGCAAACTTTGTATCGCCAGCCTTGACGTCGCCTTTCATTGCTCGACCAGGCTTGATCAGTCCATGCTAGAGATGCGGCTGGCAGGCGACTTTTACAATGTGACGACATCTCAGCTTCCTCTGAGTCACTCTTCGCACACTCCTTTGACAGATGTGGGAAGCCAGACTTGCGGCTTTCTGCTAGGCAGGAGAATGTTCCACGAGGGGTGCAGCTGGCAGCGGACTCAGTGGCCATGCCTGGGAAGCATCTGCAGACACGTGGGTTTTCGCATGTCGGACGCCGGTCAGGAGGATCCGGGCATGTTCCACACGCCATTTCCAGGCCTTCGGAAACTTCCAAATCCAGTTCCACCCAGGGAGACTTCGTGAGCCTCTGCAGGAGAGGAAGCTTCATTCCGGCTTGACAGAATGCCTTTTGATTTTGACCACAAGTCTGGCTCCGTAGTGCAGAAGGCGGCGCTGCAAAATTGGAAGTGGTTGCAGCTGAAGACACAGTTGTGGCATGCAGGTGCAGGATTTTCCCGAGCTTTCTTTTCCCGCACACGTCACGCCAGCTCAGGAAGTGCCTTAAAGTGCTTTCAGCCGGTTTCGTGTGCACCACCATGTTGGCGAGGAGCCTCCAGGTGGCTGCCTGAACACCTGCGTGGAACTCCGAAACGTCCACGCACGCGAGGCAGGGACGTGGCGGATGCCACGTCGCGTTCCACAGCCCGATGACCCGCGGAATCTAGGTCTAGTGACCCTAGTGCCGTATCCTTCGTCTTATGGGCATGGCCTTCTTCCGAATCACTTGCCGGATTAAGTGCTCTTGTTCCGTGGTGATGGTTTTCATGATTGAGTTTGGGTTCGGGGTTCAGGGCTTCATTCGGCATCCACATGTGGAGGCCTTCACTTGCGCCTTCAACTTTTTCAAGACGAAGGCGGGCAATATGAGGGCAGATGCGTTGCTCGCACCAGAAAGCCCCAGGCATCAGCATCCTTCTCCAAGGGAAACGGCGGAAAAGTCAGAGAGCAGAAGTTGGCCATGAAGGCCGCCGAAGCCGCTTGCTGTTCTCTTGCTTTGGCCGCGCTTTCTCAGCTGCAGCAGTGACTGTCATGACATGGCCGTCATCAAGCCCACAGCAAGCCGCGGGTGCTGCCTCCATGCGAGCAGCCGCTGTGCATACTTTGTATCAAACAGAAGGCAGTGGTCTGTCCGGGCATCGATGATGAGACGAACTTTGAACGGCTTGCCGAATCCCGAACTTCAACTGCATTACCTACTCGAAGACTGGAACTGGCGTAGCATGGCCTGGATCAGCCCCAGTGGATAGGTGGACACATTCTTGGTCAGCCTGTCAAGCACTGCGAGCCATCAACGTAGGCTTGAGCTGCACAGCAGCTGGAAACGAGATGGTGTGGGATCAATCGTGTCGATTCTTAGGCGCTGCACCGGAGAACGTGGTGTGAACGAGTCATGACGAGTCTCCAAGACATCGTGATATTGTGTTTTCGATGTACCTGGAAAAGGGCATGAGTCCACTTTGCAGACACTTGAGCCTGCAGTCCCTGACTGCGAGGGTGGCAGCGCAGATGGCAGCCGCAGCTGGTCGCCATGATTCCACTGAAGATGGTTGAAACAGTTGACCCGAGCTGCAGTGGCGCTCTCGAGCAGATTCAGAAGCCATGATAGCGCAAAAAGTGGGCGGCATGTCGTTTCAGGCATCCTTTATGAGCTTCGCACTGTTAGAGCAAAGGCTGGGACCAGTTGACTCTGCCAGCCAATCCTCTTGAGGCAACTGTGTTCCACACAAGCTGCAGTGGAGTGCTCGTCAGCTGTTTGCTGAAGGCTGGGGCTGTATTGCAGGAGCGATAGCCCAACACGTTTTTATCCCAGGCGCGTCTATTCTCAGCAGCAGAAGATCCTTCGAAGCTCCTCTTCGAGTGCACCGCGCAAGCTTACCAAGGGGCGGTGATGTAGCCGATGTTCAAAGTGTGCATGGTGCGGAGCTTCTAGGCTCCAGTGTCTCGAGCTTCATGATAGCTTCGGACAGCTGTGGGTTTTGCCGGCCGTGCCATGGCATGGCAAGAACCCCTGCTCGGGGAGTTCAAGAGCTGGTACACAGATGTTGAAGGTTTCGGTGGCTACCTGAAACATTTCATGGCGCACTACGGCCACTTCTTCAGGGAGAAGCAGGAAACACACTTGTTTGTCTATAGCAAGCTTCATCAGGACGCTCGTTGATCCTGTCATTATGGCACACAGGCGAATAGTACTTTCCCTGGATGCCTTCTCGATGATTCTTCGCGGCTGCAATTCAGGAGTTTAAGGACAACTTGGAGAAGGCCGTCTCAGAGTGGTTGGCTGCGACGCGCGTCGGCATCGAAGCGTGTTGCGCAGAGCGCATCTCCCACCTCGCACGGGACGCGATCCTGCCCTGACTTCTAAGGAAAGGCCTGACTGAGTGGCACCTGGAGGCCGAAACGTTGACGTGGGGGAGGGAGGGAGCGAGGGAGGGCGCTCGAAGAGCATGTGCTCCAATGGGCTTCTCTGGGTGTAGTTTGGCCTGGATCTCGGAGGCCATCCTGGAGTACGCCAAGGAGACGTCAGACGTGGAAACCTCTGGAATCGTCGCAGCCATGCTGAGGCTTCTCGAGTGCCCCGCGACGACCACCACAGATGTCGTGGATGCGCATAATGTCATTGTATCACAACTGCAGGTACCACACGTGGATCGAATACATTTTCGGACCCGCTACCATTGAATGACTCGCTGAAACTTCTGCACTTGGCTGTGAGCCCTTGCGACAGCATTTTCATGTACTTGAGATTGTATGGTGAAGGACTCAAAGAAAGTCCCGAGGCAGGATGTAGCTGACGCATGCAGCAAGCGTCGCTCCGATTCGGATGCGCTCGGTCAGCCACCAAGTCTTGGCCATTCTTTCGCCTCGCTGTTGCCTCGCTCAGATTCAAGAGCTTCTGTCGGAGCAGTGGAGTCAACCCGGATGGGAGCGTATTGGAGACACTGCAGTTGACTGGACAGTGAGACGGTGGGAGGCATGGACTGACGAAGCTACTCGACCCCTTTTTTTGGGTTTTAGAGACATGTAGCTACTCGACCCCTGTTTTTGGGTTTTAGAGACATATGGACCAGTCCAGGCAAAGTGCTTGGCTGGTGAAGCTTAGGAGTGGCATGCTTGGTGGGCATCCCGCCAGCAGTGGTCTGACGACGAGTGGGAGGAATGGTGGCAGGCATGGATTTCTGTGATTAGTGATATCTGCTCTGACTTGGAGGTGTAATTGAACTCTGACTCTTGCTCCCTTCTGAAGGGTCAGAGTCATTGGAGGGACGATTGGTGGGATGGGAAGTCTGAAGCTTGGTGGCAGGCAGTCTTGAACTTCTGGAAGACCTTTGATTGCTGTTCCTTGCCGTCTTTGCAGCCGGTCATAGTGTCACAAAAGGACCAATGGGCAGACAAGACTTGGACCTCCGGGGGGTATGGAGGTGAAGCAGGCTCGGGCAGGAAACGAGCGTTTAAGACCTGCACAAGTTACAGTTTTGACTAGCAGCTTTCTGAGAAGGTGCTGGCTATGGAATACCCACAGCTCCCGCGGCACCAGTAGATGGATAGAGCGTCTTCAGCTTTCATTTCAAAGATCCCGCATTGACGATAACTGCGACGAACAGCGTCTGCAAAAACTGCGGGTTGACAGATGGTGGACAGCTCTGGACACAGAGTCGGTGCCGAGTGCCCTGCACTGTGTATGCTTGAATGGCATCCTAGAAATCGTCGGCATGGCAGGTTCCGACGCTGCAGCGGCGATGCACTGGCCTTCGCACATGCTTTCGAGGAGGCAAACCTTCATTCCGATACACGAAGTGGCAAGATCACGAATTGTTCTTCTGTATGTGAGGGGCATTCTTTGCTTTGAGAACTTCTTGCTAGCACAGGCGTCCAAACACTTGCGGTCCAACCTCATGGCGGACACAGTGAACCCTACCTCGCTTGACGTGTGGAACCGTTTCTTTGCATTGGTCGAGTCGGCAGTTGGAGCCACCAGGGCTGCAAGTCCCAGCATGGCCAACACGGGCACAGGTGATGCGGGGAGTCCGTGCCGAATCCAGAAGCAACCAGTGCCAACTAAGTTGACGCCAGAAGTAGATAGGTTTCAGACCCTGCCGAGTTGTGCAGAACTGGGGATCCAGAAGCTTTGGCACAGGACAACTTCTGAATTACTGCTTGACTGTCTTACCCTATAGGTTGATGCTACTGTTTGTGAGACCGGCACGGCTCTACTTGAGGGTGGATGTTCCTGGCCACGACGGCACCTGATCGCTGTTCAGATCCAATCGATGATTGCTGGAGTTGGGGATGGCTCCTTACAGCATTTCTCTAGTGGCAAGCGGAATGGCGCCATAGTACTCTTCTGAATCCAAACGCTTCTCCAAGCAGATGCAAGTACAAGGGTTGCCATCCGATCAGACTTCTCGACTCGTGAACATCTTGTCGCCGTTTAGACAGCTATCGAAACAGTTACCGATATTGCGAAGAAAACACCTATGAGACACACAACAGGCTGGAGTGTATTGTTTCCTAGCAGCCTGTCTCTTCGAAAGAAACTTTGCAAGGCTCCCGCTGCAACCAGGGCAACAATCTCTACCGGACGTTGGCTGGCTGCTAAAGGTTTCCCCAACTGGCAATTGGAAAAGCGTGCTTACATGTAGCTGGAAAATATGCCGCTCCATGCGCTCCAAACATGTCTGTCCACAAAAGGTTGCGGATGGAGCCGTTAGCCGCAAGGGGGGAGTGCACGACATCTCCAGAAGTGGGGGGTTTTGGTTATTGGGCAAGTAGACACGAATTGCTGCAGTGTGTCGCGGTCGGAAAGTTTACCCCAGTCCAGCTCCGCCTTTTCTCCATGCCCATACAAGGCGTAGTGTCGTTGTTCGTTCCTGGGCGGAACTACTTTCTCCGGTTGGGTTGGCCTACTGGCCTACTGCAGACGGCAGAGTGAATGGACGCTCTTTTCGCTTCCCAGGGAGAGGGCAGACTTCCGGGTTTCGGCAACGAGGGGCGTGTTCGAAACAAGAGAATCAAGCGCAGATGTCTGCCTCAACACGGCTCGACGGATTGGAGTCGGGTATGTCAGGACGTGAGCCGTGACAGCGACGTGATTCACGACAGGATCCCGGGCACAGGTCAGTTTCGTTTGTGAATTTGTTGACATGGCTTGAGTCCAAGCATTGGGCAGACATGGTCTGTTTAGTTTGAAGGTGAGGAGCACAGTCAAATTCAACCCCTCGTTGATATGGTTGCTGCTGGCAGTCCGTCCACCTTGGAGGCGGAAAGCTCGTGAGAGGGAGGATGGTGATCGAAGGACATCAGGGAGCATGCTCGGTACTGAGGCTGAAGCAGTCGCAGCCCTGGCAGCCTTGGCCCTGAGCGCTGACCCAGCAGGTCCGCCTGCGATGATCTTTTTCTCTGATTTGCTCTCTGGTGCGTCGTCTGGTTCAGGGACCACAGCCTTGCTGGCTGCGCTCCGAGATGTGCAGAAGGCCGCGGGCTGGCCTAAAAGTCGTCATTGACAGCCCCGTAAAGGGCACGCACTCTGCACTTGTAGAAACACCAGACTGAAGGCTTGGAGGTGTGCGTGCAAGGCTTTCTTTTTTGCATTTCCATGTTCTGCTTGTGTGCAACCTCTGGCCTAGTGTGATGTCAAATCTAACGTGGGTTGATGATTTGCCAGACCCTTGTCGAGCTTTGCGTGAACAGCAGAACCTCTATCGACACAGCGTGCGCAAAGTCTCCAGCTCAAGCTCTATGTGGCAGCTTGGCCAAGGATTTGCACTGTGCACGACATTGTCTTGACAAAGACAGGTACCCGGCGGCGAGACTTGTCTCCAAGCTGGTGTGCAAATCGGACGTAGATGCGGAGGTGCCGTGGTTTCGCCAAGTCCGTTTCGAGACGTTTACAGGAGTGGTCGCTTGAAGTTCCGTGCTCTTCCTGCGAGGCTCAACAGATCGCATGTGACCTGACCCGAGCAGTGTGCGGAGTCAGAGTCTCAATGCTCGAAGGGAACTTCCGGTGCGCTTTGGTGGAGAAGCCAATCAGCTCCGATCTCCCTGAGGCCACACATCTTGATTCCTTGGTGCGTGGGGAGCTAGCGGAGGCAGTGCACGCAGACGGAAGTTGGGCCAACGCATGCTCATGGTGCAGCCGCGTGCAGCCGGGTGCAGTATGTCAGGCAGTTCGAGCCGTTGCTAGGAAACGCACTATGCAGCTCCCCATGCCCGGGTCCAGGATAGCCCGGAAACGCTGTTGTGTTGTTCCAGGATGTTCCACGATGTTCCGAGGCAGAGTGGTCTAGATGAGCGCCAGCTGGCACAGGCCAGACTTCGTGCAAGTCGCACCGTCGGGCTGGTGCGCCCCGCGTGCTAGTGCTGGAGGCCTTACAAACACTGGAGGCCGGCATACTTCGTCCTGAGCCCATAGATATCAGAGATGTTTAGCAGCTCGTAATTCGTCTTTGCACTGGGCGAGTGCACAGGAGCCTGGGCCCTTCAGGAAGCTGCAAGATGGGGTAGATGCCCCGGATAGCATCGGCCTATCCTGGTTGAGACATGATGTGTGTTCGAGGTGATGGCGTAAGGCGAATCAACCCACAAGGCAACATCCTCCATGCACCTGGTCCGTGTACCACCACCTGATCAAACTTTTTGGCAAAGGATGCCACCATCGATGCCTTAGCTGTTCAATCCTCGGCACGATTGCGGCCAGCAAGCCGATGTCTGCGCTCAGCTCCTGCACACTTTTGCTTGCGGATCTCTGTATCCTAGGTGCCAAGATACAGAGCAGCTCGCTGAGGTGTTTGCAGAACGTGCCACAAGCCATCCGTCTCTGTGTGACGTGCTAGCTGTGATGTAAGCAGGATACTGGCGTCGCCAAGCTTGCGAGAGCTGGCGACTGTGCCAGGCAGCCTGCTTGCACGTCTGGTGTCGCAGACTTCATGCCAGCGCATTCCGGCGACTCCTGACGTCAGGACCCCGTATTGGCACTTGCACCGATGTCATCGAAGTGTGACTGCATCGTGGCCATTATCACTTGCTAAGCACCTCATCGTTTGCGTCATAGAGTGTCTAGAAATCTAGAACACTCACGTAGTCGTTATCTTTGCCCTTCAGACTTGGAGATGTCGGTGGCACAGAGGTGCTTTGCAGGAGCCGGAGTAACTTGGCCCCTTTTTCTTTGGTTAGGCAGACATGTCTTTCCTGGCCGGGATGCATTCAAAATCTCGACCGCTTTCCTGCCATGGAGAAGCCTGGACACATTATCCAGAGCTCAGGCACCGAGGTCTGGGCTATTCGGCTATTCCATGCACGCTACATGAAACGACGTGCCACGTATATCTCGCAAGTCGGAACCACACTTTGTGCTCGTCTGGTGTTGCGTGAATGGAGCAAAAGCTCTCCACAATGGAGGCGATTGCAGGAATTTACATTTGAGGTTGAGATGCAGAAGTCTGTTCTGCCGTAAACACTCACTTTCGCTAGACTAAGTGCAGAGTTCCTGGCTGGCAGAACAGAACAGCAGAACAAGGCACCATAACAAAAAAGGCTTTTGGCTTGCATGCAGACGTAGTCAGGTCTTCTCTCAGGCGGCACGAAGGTGCACCTGCCAATGCCCTGCGGGGCTTTTGGCTCAGGATGCTGCTGGATTTTGTATACAGCTGCTTGGCTGCAACATGATGACCCAAGATACATGTGCACACCGAGATTTCCCGCCCTGTCTGTTTGGTTCTTGCTGTCCCGAAGCCAAGGTCAATTCACATGCGGCACCTGTTAGCCTGTACCTGTATCACCCAGCTCCACTGGCTGCTTGTAGCATGCGCATGCGGAGCATGCTGAAGTGCCGCCTATTGTTCCACTGCACGACTAGCTTACATTTGTGGATAGGTGCTTTGTTTTCCAATCCCGCTTTTGACAGCCAGCATGGAGTTGAGCTTTCCATCTTTGGACAAGCGTCTAGCATGCTTCATGAGACTCGTCATAGGTGGCCGTAAGGTGCTCGTGTGAACACCAGGAGTCTCGGACACTCTACCCGATAGCTGGCATGAACCAGCCTTGCGGCCATAAATGCGCCCAATGCGCAGAGAAGCCCCGATGTGATTTTGCAGCCGCGGGTTGGGCTGCTTTGACCCCGAGTGGAAGCCCTTGCCGATTGCATCAGGATGTTTTCGCTTTAGCTTGCATTCCTACAGTGATCATGCACAGGTAACGCCAGCATATGCAAAGTTTCGATCGCGACTCTAGTGCCCTTCGGTCAGAATTCCGGTGGCGCGATCATGCCAGAGGGAACAGATAACGATCTTCCCCTACTTCGGCGAGAGGCGCTGTGCCTGGATCTGATGCAACAGGCAAGTGGCTTGTTAGTTGAGAGGCCAAATTGAGCAGGAGCTTCAGAAACGAATTGCGGACTGTTGTCTTCCTGCCTGACAACAGACTCAGCTGGAACCCCCATCGGAGAGTAGGGCATCAGAACAGCCTGGGCGCAAGCCTAAGCACAGGTCAGCCCCAGCAAGTCAGACTCCGGCCCGCTGCCACTTCAAGCGCCCGCTTCCACATCGGAGCCAAAAGTCGGGATCGCGCCTCCGTTGGGTGGCACGGATTAGATGTCTTGTCATCTGTTTTTGCAATCTTGGAAGGATGTTGCGATTTCGCAGCTATTTTCCAGACAAGATTTGATCCAACCGCAGGCAGGCCTTGCCATGGCTGGCAGCCAAGTTCTCTAAGGGCCCGACCTTCCTCATGGTGTGTGTGTGTGTGTGTTTGTGGATGTGTCTGAGGCTCTGCGTTCTCTTTGCTGGAGTCTTATGGGAAGGGTTTTCCAGAGCTCAAAGCCAAACTTGCTGACCAGCTCTCGAGTCTCAGGCCGGCCAACAGCCAGAGCATGGGAGCTGCCCTGAGAGAACCCGCCGTCCCTCCTGTCCTGTCCGGTCTTGACCCGTGAGTTCGAGAGCACTCCGTCAGGCCCGTGGCTTAGGAACAAGCTCCGTTCGGCTCTCCGAGGCGGGAGTGGAGCACCGAGAATCGGCAAAGGTGAGTGGAGAGCGAATGAGAGCGTCGTTGCCAGGGCCCTCCATGTGGCACCGCGTGCGCCACACCCACGCAGTGTGGCGAGAGCACGTCGAAGGCCTTGCGCTCGACACTCGTTTTGAGAGCCGTTCTGTGTCACCGTGCCACTGACTTCAAACTCCTGGATTCTTGCTTTTGTCGTACCTCAGCTTTGCACAGAAAAGATGCCCCGGAGCAAAGCGGCATGGTTCATGACCTTCAACGGCTGCCTGGGCTATCGCCCTTTCCGTCCTCCAATCTTGCGTGGTATGTGATTAGGCTCCCTCCCGCACAAAACTCGCACGGAGCCACTGCAGGCGGACATAGCCCACAAAGCTGTCGGTAGCACTGGTGCCACCTATGGGTCTGACTCTCTTGTTTTGAGTCCTTGGCTTGATCCATGCTAGCCCAGAGAATGCCAGGTATTCGAAGAAATTCGCTGAAGGATGGGAGCGCGTCTTTGCGAAAAGAGGCCTCGTTCTACGAAGATGGCAGCTGTGTCGATGTGTGTGTGGGGAGGCCAGCAACATGCTGAAGTCCAGAAGGACGGCTGGTTGTGTGAGCAGCTATCGGGTCAGCATGACCTTTGGGATCGCCCGAGGACGCGACCTTGGACAGCTGAAGCGAGTCCTGGGACCACCGCGCATCACTGCGTCATAGACCACAATCCGCAGGAAAGACTGATGGCTGGTGCTGCCGCATGCCAGAGTTCTGCTCGTTCTACTTTCCCTTTTGCACGTGCCTGTTGAATCGCCGAGTGCGCCAGTGATTCAGCTCGAATGCACATACGCAGAAGCGTAATATAGAGATGGCCTCAGCAATGGGCCTGAGAAGATGGAAACTGTGTTGCCCTCAGATTGAGCGGTTAGCAAGCTGTACCAGTGCTCCGTGCTTTGGCAGAGGCGCTGTCCGACACTCCGCTGCCCGATTCGCAGATCGCGAGGTGACGTCGGTGAACCACTGGACCTGGAATTGTCTGGGGTACTTTGCCACAAAAGAGGTACCAATGCTGCACAAGCTTGCCATCTTGCCGAATCATCGAAGGCCGCATGCTTGTCAAGCACTTCGCAAGCTTCCTACGGTTGTCGAAGACTTCCCTCGGAGTCACCAGGTTTTCTCTTGTCATCGTGATCTGTTCGTGTTTCCTCTGGAGGCGGTGACAGCCGCTTCGCCACCCGCACAGAATGAGGACCTTCAGTATTGGCGTGTCTGCTCCGGTGGGAGAGCTTACCTGGTCTCCTAATTTCTCTTATAGGCTCTGGCCTCCCAAGCATGAAACTTTAATGGACTCCGAATCTATTGTGGAAGACACTGGATGCAGGGTTTAGGTTTTTCGGTTTACGGTTTGGATGACCCGAATTCCTGCGACTGGCATCAGCGTCGTCTTTTTCTGGCGCTGTTGCTTCCGGGTGGACTGCGTGCATTTCTGCATTTAGGCTTTGACTGCTTCCTTTTACTGGTCACCAGCCACGTTGGATCGTGCCAGGAGGAGGGGGAGGAGGATCGCCTTTGCCGCTTTTGTTTCGAGGGCGACGAGGCCTGGAGATCCGAACCACAGGTGTCAGCTGCTTGCTGACCTTGCCAGGAAGACGAACTGATCTCCCCATGCCGATGTTCAGGAGGACAAAAGTATGTTCACTTGAAATGCCAGATCCCTTGTGCTGGCCATGCTGGGCGGTAAGAAGTGCTGAATATTCCAGTGGCCAAGGTTTACGAATGTGGCAACGGGCCGTGCTTGTTTCTCAGCCTACTCATCCAGACCTTTACGATCATGATACAAGACAAAGGCCGGAATCAGACTGCCAAGCTACCAAGTGCCATAGCGTGTTGTTGTCATGTCGCGCAGGATCTGTAATGTATGCAAGACGGAGTTCACCTGCCATCCGCCGACGAGCACGCGTCTCGTTGACAGCGACCTATATACGGCGGCGTCTGTTGCTTTCTTTTGCCCGGCACACCTCGCTGAGGGGCTGAGCTCTTGGCCTCCTTCACGGGCCCGGAGCTGGCTGCCTTGATCGAGGACGGAGAGTGGCCTTGCATGCGGAGCTGCCGCTGCCGTGCAGCCCGTGCAGCCTGCAGCAGTGCATGCCCGTTGTGTGGGCAGGAGCGCTGCTTCATCGGCTCCGCTGAGAACTTCAGCCGGGAGCTGGAGAGACAGGCACATGAAGTGTTGCTGACCGGTGTTTAGGAGTCGTCCGGGCAGCAAGCAGAGAATGACCGCACTTCTTCGTGTGCTGCACGCTGGCTTGCGCATGCAACTAAATCTTCAGTGTGGGCTTGCGCATTGACCTGGTCGTGATCAGGTTGCGAGCTTTCCCGGAATTATGCGCGAGGGCATCGTGTGCCTGAACTGGATCAGGCCGGACAATCTTGTATTGGAGCAAGCTCTGGTCCCTCATTGTTTAAAGATTTGCGCTCGTAGTTATGCACATGATTTTCTCACGGCTTGATCAGGGGACTTTTCCTGATTGTCAAAGCGGCGCACTAAGATCGGTGAACCCTGGTCAGCCTCAAAGGTTTGCAACTGATTCGATCGCCTTGATCATGTTGTCGGAAGCTGCTTAGGTGGTTGAAGATCGGCATCGAGGTATAGTCATGTTGAGGATCAGCGACGATGAGGAGACTGGCTAAAGCCGGGTAGGCCTTTGTTGATTTTGTTGACATCGCACAACTGACAACCCGGTATGTATCTGCGCAGGCGTGGTGACACGGATGCCGGTGGGGGAGAGTATGTGTTGGGAGTGGTGAACCGGGGTTCCACTGACTGCCATATTCCAATCGGCGTATACTGTCCGTTCATGGTCGAGGACCAAGAATTCAGCGCACACCTGCGCTTCGCGAAGATGCCCAGGATACCTAAGGATAAAACGTTAAAACTTCTGGCTGCAGCTGTTGTATTCACCATTTCTGATTTGGGCAACGGAGCTGCCGGGGGGGAATGCCTCAGCAAGGCACCAATATTTCGGGGGCTGTTGCATGGACCATGGCGGATTTGCTGCAGTATGATTTCTAGGACTGTAGGACCCATTGCGAGCTGGAAGGCGCGCTAGATTCTTGATCTCACGTGCATGGCCACGTCCTTGAGCTAAGGACGTCACGAAGCGAGTCATTGTGTTGAATTGCTAACAGCGACAGTTGCAGCCTCAAGCCCGCACATCGGCTGCAGCTTGCAACGTCCTTGAAGCCGATGTGCAGGGACGACAGATGTCGTCTTCGCATCCCCCGATCAAGAGGAAAGCCGCTGGGGCGCTTTTGAGTTCCGTGTGTCAGGAGCTGAGCATGTTCTTGCAGCACCTGGAGGCCGATGCAAGGACCGTTGAGCGCACGTCAGCACCCGCCGGCCGACGCGGCTTGGAGGGTCGTGGCAAACTATCGCAAGCAGATTTTGGCTCAGCTCTGAGCTCAGAGTAGCAAGCACAAGCAGCACAAGCATTGCGAGTCTTCCGCGTCTTTCGTGTCTTTGCAACTCTGTAGAAACTCTGAAATACCAATGGACTGTCCCAAAGTGGGCAGTGACATGTACCTTTCGCCATGCCGCTGCAGTCCTTCTCTACTGCGAGGCGCTGCGAGCAGTGGCCGTGCGACATGACTGACATACTGTTTGTTCTCTTGAGTCAGGGCGAGGCAGAGACCCAGGTTGCCGGCATTGGATGGGCCCCTCTCAGCCAGGGAGGCTACTTGGCTGTGCTGTCGAGCGGCTGAAATCCGTGGAGATAGCAGCGTGTAGGCACGGCGAAGCGGGCGTGACACCTCGAGGCATGGTGTAAGGTCGAGAAACAAAAGGTGCCATGTTCAAGCTTGTTCAGCTCACCCTGGTGCACAGGCTGAGAGACACAACCGCGAGGGCCTCGTTCCCAGTTTTTCTCAAGAGTGGACGCCGGGTGCCTGTTTCGATCAAGGCTCCTAACTTGGACGCAGATGCTACGGGTGGTCTGGAAGCGGGGTATCCGGCCGGGAACCGAAAATGCAGAATGTCCCAGCACCAGCGGAAGTTCAGGAGTTCTGCAGGCCTTACCGCCAGCGCTCGGGGCCGCCCTGGGAGATCCAGTGTCACTCCTGGCTTTGGAGGCCCTGCAAAATGCAGAGATGACGAGAGGCTGAGGACACTGGAAATCTGCGCAGGACTGGCACAAGACACACTCCGGCCTGCCGGAGGACGCGAGCGGCAAGCCGAAAGAGGGGTTGCGACTTCCAATCCCTGCCGGTAGGAGCAACAAGGCTATGAGTCCAAGCTTTTGGCGTGCGAGGTCGGCTTACTCATCACCGTTAGTGAGGGTTCAGGGTTTAGGGTTTAGGGGTTCGTGGATGGTTTGCTGAGCAGCCGCGTTCAGGCTCGCTTCCGCAAGATTGAGCGGCTCTCTGCACGGCTCAACTTGCCCAACAGCGTTGTGACAGCCGTTGCTGCGGACTTGCTGCGAGCTCCCTCGACAGCAGCAGAAGAGAGCTTTGAATAGAAGCAGAGAGGCACATTGCAAAGGCTATAGAACCTGTGTAGCTGGCAAGGATGTGGTGGATACACTGCCCGGTCCCATCCAGAAGATGGCCGGGAGCATTCTGCGGCAGGTGGAAAAGTCGATCTACAGCGATGAGCCCACCAGCCCGGCGGAGAGACAGCAGTTGGCCGAAGTGCTCGGGGGCGGCCCCGGGGGTGGCCGGCCTGGGCGCGAGGACCTCAGCGAGCGGCAACCCTGGTTTGCCGTCGTCCGGCGACAGCAGGTGGCCTTGGAGCGTATGGAGGAGCATGTCGCCGACATGCAGGAGGTCGTCGATCTCCACCTGGCGAGGAGGAAGAGCGTGCTTGACTTCATTGTACGATTGCAGGGTCAGGAGCGGCTCATTCTTCAGCAGTGGCTCTTCAACTTCTGGGTCTTCACGTACCGGGAACGAAAGGCCCGCATGGAGAAGATGTCCACTTCCGTGTTGGCAGTGCCGGACGACCTGGTCACACCGTTCCTGAGCTGGCGACTCTACTTGTCGCAGCAACGCCTGGTGCGGGCGCGTGCCAAGTGTGCCGAGGTGGACAAGGAGGCCTCGCAGCTGGCAAACAAAATCACCGAGGTCGAGGTGGAAAACCACGAGCAGCAACGGTTGCTGGAGGAATCCTTGGCGGCCGGTGCTGAGCTCAAAGAGAAGTGCATGGTCGAGCAGCAGGAGCTCTCCCGGCTCAAGCAGGTCTGGGCAGACACGCAGCCAGAATTGCCACCCTGCCGCAGTGACCTTCCTTCCTTCCCTCCTTCCTTCGTTCCTTCCTTCCTTGTCTCTTTGAAAGCTGGCTTGCAACAAACCCGTTTTCCTGCTTAGGCTGCTGAAAGTCCTGGCCCAGACCTTGGAGGTTTTCTTCGGCTTGGTGGTGCGGCAAGCGGGCTTGAAGAGCCTGGAGGCCTCGCGCATGCCTCGTGCATGCTTTTGCTCACCAACACCTCCTTGCGTCAGCCTTTCTCAGGTTCGCCATCGGCTGGCCAGAAAGGACATCCGACCCTTGTTCGACGAGGATGGGAGCGTCGACACGGAGGCCATCCTGATCAGGTGCGACATGCTGAAACGTGCAACGCCTCTGTCTTCATGATGTCATGCTTCATCCTCGCCTTGCAGGTGGATCAACCTCAGTTTGGACAAGGTGCCATCACATGCAACAAAACCTGGTTTTGTCCCAGCAGATTGATGGCAGACGCAGACAGTAGAACTAAAGCATAATGTTGTACGGTGTTGTCACAGCTCGGCAAGGCGCGGCGATACTGCGAAGACTGGCTAGACAATCTCGCGCATGCATCCGTCCAAGATTCTTATGTTTCCACAAAACAGAAGAGCAAGCAGAAGGGTTTGCGGGGGCTGTGGTGGGGGTATTGGTTGTCCATGTTCGCCTTTGATGGTGCAGCGGGCATGTGCTCATTTGGCTAGCCTCTCTTCTGCTGAGGTAGAGAACCAAGACGGAGTCATCATGATCGCGCAGCAGGAGGAGAGAGCTACATGTCACATGATAAAGCAAGCATCTTCTTGAGACTCGCAGACAAAGTCTACTCGAGAAAGATGTAAAACATTGCCACCGCATCAGCGCGCCGAGAAAATTTGAGGTCTCAAGGCATTCGGGTCATTGATCTTTCGATCTGCAGTCCTCATGCTACGATGTAGTTGGTGTAGTTCCCAAATTCATGCAAGGTCGGCGATGTTCACCTGCTGGTGTGTTAACATCCTTCCCCTAACCCCACGCAGTGGCCAGTGCTGTTGCGGCGAGGACAGGATAACATCACTGCTGGATGGTAGTCTTACCTTGCTTTGATCTCAGCTCGTCCTGCGCTGCTCTGGTGGTTCGCAGGACATCGATAATCTTGAGCACGACTTGTCGGATGGGGTCGCACTCACTGCGCTCTATGCGATGATCAAGGCACATCGAATACCTGACAGATGAAAGGCCGAACCAATCACCGGGCATCTGCTCCAGGCAGAGCGCGACCAGAGGAAGTTCTCTGAAAAGGACAGGGGGGGCATGCAATAAATGTATGGGGTTTAGGGTTTAAGGTTTAGGGGCTTAGGGTTTAGGAATAAATGTATGGGATTTTACAGAGGGGTTGGAGTCTTGCCGATTTCAGACACACGCCTTCGATGTGGAGGTGTCCACCATGATCCCTGCTGCATGTCCGCTAGGCCCTAGAATCCCTGGAGCCATGAACTTAAACTTTAGTTACGGTTCAGAGCTAAGGGTTATAGTGCCACAAGACATGTCACCGACTTACCAAGTTCATCTGTTGACTCAATGGATAACGAGTGCATTAAGATCTCGTTCACATGTTGGGACATGTCTTGTAAACACCGAGAATCCCGAGAAGACAACGGCGTTCCTGTGACTTCACACCGGCCAGCTTGCGTTCTGGCTCAGGGCCTTGTGGGCGATCTTACGCTTGTAAGTGGTGATCATGCCGCTGGGTAGCAACGTCGCCATGGCTTTCGCCCTGGCGGTGTACCGCTTTGTGGATCACCGTCGAGCGGCTCGTGCTGTGGCCGTTGCTGTGCTTCTCGTGCTTGCACGTCTATGGCAGGGCATGCAGCGGCGCGTGTACGGTGTGAGCCGCATGACCCTTCCTTTGAAGACTTTACTTCCGCAAGTACCAGCCGTGGCAGCGGAGTCAGCAGCGCGCGAGGTCAATGATCGCGGCACGGACGAAGTGGAAGTGAAGGGCCCAAAAGTTTCATCCGTGATCTACCAGTGTGTCGCTTTTCGCATTGGCGACTTTGTGACTTATCCGGGCAACCAAGTCGGACGGATTGTTGGCATCGATGACGATGGCGATTTGTTTGTCCGCACTGACCACGGCCGGAAGGCCGTTTGGTACATCAGCAAGTGCAGCAAAGCCCTCAGCGCGGGGGACAGAGTGCAGTATCCCTGCGGGGAAGTGGGTACCGTGATGGAGTTCGATGAAGATGGAGATCTCCATGTTCGCAAAGACGGCGGCGCCACCGCAAGGTGGTATGCCAGCAAGACAAGGAGACTCCTGAGTGTGGGAGACAAAGTGCAGTACACTTGTGGAGAAGTGGCCACAGTTGTGGGCTTCGATTGTGACGGAGATATCATGGTGGTAACACCCAATGGGCGCAAAGCCACATGGTTCGCGCAGAAATGCTTGTGACTGTATCGAGTCCCGGCAGTGCTTCATGTTTTGGTCATGTTGCGTCGAAATATAGACACCGCCTGCAGCTAAACCTTGCAGGGTTCATCGTTTTCGTGCATTCGTTTCACCTACTTGGCATCTGTTTCACCACAGCCAAAAGCAAGCATCGCTGGTCAAGACAGCCAGAAGCACACATCGTTTGCAAGGCCGGTGAAAGGTGCGTCCGAATCTGTGTCTTCAAATGAGCGGAAGAGTCCATGCCTGGATGTTCGGGACAGGACTTGATGGCTCTGTCTGAGCCGGACAAAGAATTGCGAACCATTCAGCTCTGCCACTGCTTCATGGAGGTAGCTCCGACAGAAAGGCCGAATTGGAGAATTTGATGCCTCCTGCAGATACTCTGCCCTTGCCCCACTGATTGCCAGGGCGAAATGCCTGCTGGTTCCTCATGAGATAATGCAAGGCTTGATGGCAGCTGTGATGCTTGTGATGATGTTCAAGGTTTTTTTGAACCTGCCAGGCTCCTCGGACAAGCTTCAGACTTTCTTGGCCGCGATATTTTTGGATTTTCCGATGCTTCAGGCAGGTTCAGCATTGCAGCAGTCAGTGTACAGAACGATTGGCAAGCCAGGACGCGTTTGTCTCCGGCAGTGCTGCTGAGGTGGGCGCATGGCCCAAAACGACGCAAGACGTGAATTCACGTTGTGAAGAGAAGTGTCAGGCTCTGTACGAAAGGCTCTGCAAAGTTCTGGACTACATGGAGGTGGGCAGGGCGACCTCGCAACTCTTCGCACATGCTCAGCAGCCTGGACTTGTAGGCCTTTGCTGGGCGCGCTGGCTATGAGCCACTGGCGGACTGTGATGACTCGGAGGTTCTCTTGTTGGAATCTTCGTACTCCTTTGGCAGGACCCCACGCCTTTGCTCCATGCCGGCGAGGAGACTCAGGAGAGCCCAACAGAAATGGAAAGTGTCGACGTGTTCTGCACTCCCCGCTACTGGTAGGCCCTGGCGACCATTTCTGTGCAGCAGATCCTTTTGAGGCAGGGAAACAGCGGCCCTTTTCCGGTAAAATAGCCAGCAGTCGAAAGTACGTGGCGTGCTTCCAGAGTCACGCCAGCTCCTCAATCTCGCATCGTGTAAGTGCTGCGGCCCGAAGCATCATTTTCCCAGGTCCGGTGGTTCATGTAGCCCTTGTGCTAAACTTTCCTAGCCAAGACTTAAACCCCGCCTCATGTCCCGAGGGCGAGGTCTTGAAGAACGACACTCAAACCTTCCTAGCCGTCACTTCAACCTGTGACCATGCTTCCGCATGAAGGTGGATAAACGCGCAGCTGAGTATGGAAAATCCTCAGCACAGGTGGGCTTCTTATGCTCTGTTTTCACAACTGAGCTTGTGTAGCTTCAACTTCGGAGGCCTGTCGAAAACTTCGGCTCGGATTTGCAGGCCATTAGGTTCTGATACCCTGTCGCTTCCTGGATGCTCCCGTGGAACTTGCGCAGGATGGCATTGCTTTGTCCAAGCTCCTGACCATCATCGCGCCGGAAGCGGCCTGGTCTGCAACATTGACCCCCGCTTTCCCAAAGCGTGAGAAGACGCCACATGTGACACATGTCATGTGTCGCTTTCTTTCAGAGGCCTGTCCGGTGCTCTTCTCAGAGAACCGGGAGGAGCGCCTCGACCAGGTCATCGCCGCGGCCACTCGGTGTGGAGACGGCACCGAGGTTTTGACGGTGAATGCAGTGGTGGAGGGGCAATCGGACATGCTCGCATGCTTCGTTGCAGCTTTGCTGCTGGTCCGCCCAAACCTGTCAGCGCTGCCTGACTCGCTCTTGGCGATGCATCTCATGAAGCTTGAAGAAGTCTGTGGTGAAGGCTTTGCAGCAGTGTCGATCGACAATCCCTCGGAGACCATGAAGTTTTGCTTGGAGCTGGACGGTTGCTGGCAGGAGTTCCGGCTTGCGGCGCAGGCGGTGCAAGAGGCCTCCAAGACCATGTCGAGCATCTTGGAGCGTGTGCATGCGTTCTTGGGCGAGACCCTTTCACACAGAGCTCGAGGTCAGCCGAAGACCATGTTGGATGCGAAGGAATTGAGGGAGTTCCACCTTTACACGCAGGTGAATGCCGACCGGCTCTCGCAAACGCTGGGCAAAGAGGCTGGCAAGGAGGCCGGGAAGGAGGAGAAGCTGGAGCCGGCGGTCTTTGTGAAGCTGGAGGAACAGCTCCGACGGCACTTCCGGCTGCTTCGGGACATTTACAAGCACTACAGCAGCTCGAGCCCGTCGGGGGCCCATGGTGTGGCCCTGGAAGGCTTGCTGAAACTCTTCCAGGAGTGCAAGCTCCGATCCAAAGAGCTCGCTCCTCACCACCTGGAGGTGATTTTTAATGATCACCTGGAAGACAAGAGCAAGACAGGTGAAGACCGCCTTCTGGCCTCGCATGAATTTGTGGAGGTGCTGGTCCAATGTGCAAACAAGAAGTTCCGCAGTGCTTGTGCTTCTCCAGACAACTTGGCGGAGCAGATGCTGCTCCTCATTGACCTTCACCTTCGCCCCAATGCTTGCAATGATGCCGAAAGCATGTTCCAGAAGATGGCATACAGTCCGGAGGTGCGCCAAGTTCTTGACCAACATTCACGAGAACTGAAGGATATTTTCCAGCTTTATGCCACCCTGGACATGTCGACGACTGATGCCATGCAACGTGCCAGCACGATGAACATTACTGAATTCCAGATGTTGCTGGATGACACAGGCTTCTTGGATGAGGCGCTGACGGAGGTCGCAGTGCAGCAGATTTTCCAAGGCATCCAGCAAGATGCAACGGCTGCTGACGACGAGGAAAATGCCGGGGAGCCCGAAGACGGGGCAGGCCTGGACGACGACGACGAGATGTCCTTCTCGGAGTTCTTAGACGGTCTTGTTGCAGTCGCTGCATACAAGTATCCGGATCCGTTCATTCCACTCAGCTCGCGCATAAACACGTTCTTGCTGCAGCTCTTCGTTGCTTTGCGAAAGCATTGGAGTCGAAAGCGTGGTGCGCCACAAGTCGATGCAATGCTGAATGCATTGCAGAAGAAGATGAGGTAAAGCTGGGCATTCAAAGCCTTGCCTACCTTTGCCTCATTTGTGCATAACTCGGGACCGTGAGCAGCGGCAGTGGCTGCAGCAACACGCTGGCCACCAGAGACGCCTCGTAAACTCGGGAGGTGTCTTTGGTAGATCTGCTGTGCAAAAACTGAACCGCTTTGATCCGCTTCGTGCCTTTACGCTTGAACGATCGGTTTCGTGTTCGGTACATGTAGGCAGGCATGCCACCGCGAGCGAAGAAGCGCTGCCAGGACTTTCCACTTGAGGGGCCGGCGCTACCAGGTTCTTCCGCAAGGAGCTCAAGAATGCATGGCGTAGAAAGGGCTCTGTCCAGCGAGTAGTCGCGCACGAGCCCGCCAAGGCAAGGCCCTCTGAAGAACTTGACAGACCAAGATTCACCGGAGGCCAAGGGCCAAGACTGAAGCCCAGGGATCTCAGGGCTTGTCTCTGCTGGTGCTGCGCTCTCTTTGAGGACTTGCCGGATTCTTCTCGTTTCGTGTTACCTGCTAGCCCCTTTCTACCGTTTCGCCCGTGCGATGATTGACGAAGCAGGCGCTGGGGCATGCTTGCCTGAACTCGCAGGCTATACTCCCCCTCATCTCTTGCATCCATCCACATCCTACGTGTTTGTTTTCCAATGCTCTGCCTGATATGCGGACATTCAAACAAATCCCTTGCTGGGGTCGAGGTTGCTTTGTGTAGTCCCCATCCTTTGCCCCTTCCGAAGGCTCGGCGCGAGCTTATGCGGTCTGTCCCAAACTCAGAGACCTGGAGATGTTTGTTAGAGTCTGGTTCCGAGCTAGCAGGTACGCACTCCTGCGTCGATCCGGCTGCGACCGGATCCTGTGGACTGTGGCCAGGGGCACATTTGATCGAAAGCTTTCGAGGGCAGCTGTGCCTTGTTCGCGACTCCTCGAGGCGAGGATGGCATCGTGGCGGTGAACCTGCCCGGGCCATGGGGCCACAACGAGGGGAAGCGGTCGCCTGCTTCGCTTCGCTCTGAGGGCGCGCCCTTTCGACCTCGCCAGCTCTGGACGAACCGTGCAGATGCCTCAGCACTGGCAACCTGAAGCGACGTGGGTTGGGTACTTGTAAATTGGCTATGCAGGGCTATGCAGGTTGAGTTTTTTTGTCTCGCAGACGCTGCGAAGATGCTGGAACCGCAACTCTCCACAGTTGTCGGAGCCACCGATAAAAAAAAAACACGCGTTGATGCCGCGACGGTTGCAGATCGCCGGAACAAGCTCTACGTCAACCCGCAAGGATAATATGGTTCGAAAGCGTTGTCAGGGCATGGTTTCGCTCGGGGGCGGGAGTGAGCTTGCTTGGATCGTTTCCTCGAGTTTCGAAGTTTTAGAGGATCGGATGCGGGTGTCTTTCCAATGTCCCACTGCGGCCAAGGCTGCGGGCCAGGCAGCGGGCTGCCTACCAAGCTGCCGTGTCAAGGCCTGCTCGGACTACGCAAGAAAGTGCGGCGGGCCATCTTTCGCTTGCAGGGTGCTCAGCGATCGGGGCGGATCGGATCTTCGAGCGCAGGCTGGCGCCCCGTAGGAGCCCTGGGCTTTCCTCAGCTCAGGGCTCTGGCTCTTGAGGTGACCCACTTCATCGGTGGACCTTGTGAGGAGGAAAAGGCCTCCGATTTCGACATCAGTAGTGGGCTTTGGCTCTCCGGAGATTGAGGTCGCCTGCTGCATCGTTGTGTCGTCGTCCGGCTACAGCATCGTCCAGGCGCGTGCTCTGCGGCTCGAACCCTCGTCCATCTTGGTCCATTCTCTGCACTCTGCCAGGATGATGCCTGTCTGCTGGCCGGCTTGTCGGTCGCAGAGGAACGGGGAACGGGTCGGGGGCCAAAGGTGCCTTAGACGGGCTCCCAGCCAGAGCTGTCAGGAGCTGGCATCAACGGGAGGCGCGGCTGCAGAAGGTGCAGCTGCAGCTCTGCGGCTGTCTGCCAGTGCCTCAGCGGTGCAGAGTTGATAATGTGTTGTGACCTTCATCCACGTGAGCAGGCGATTGAAGCTGGAGCAGGAATATCCTCAATTTCGACCATCGACACGGATGAGGGCAAAGAGGATGCCGGCAACTTCGATTGCGGAAGAGCATCAACTTCTCTCCCAGTGTCCTTCTGAGGCATCCTCCGGAGTGACGAAACGTCGGCGGATTGAGCTCGAGGCCGTCCGGAGTCAGAGTGGGAGGTGCGGGTTGTAGGGGCCGTTAGCGCCAGGAGGGAAGCCCAAGCTCGAATCCGGCACACGATCCGTGCCACTCCCGGTCACAGAATTCAGCTGCAAAGCACTTGGAGCATCCTCAGGTCTGTGCGCGTTTTCGTCTACTGGGGCTATGCTGGCTGGAGCGAGAAGTAGGGAGGAGCCCCACTTCTTTCCCGGAGCTGCTGACTCCAGGAGCCGATGCCAGCTCATGGGCGAGATTGCGCGAGGTCGGCCATCGCAGCGACGTAAGCGCGCTCTTTTTCGATGATGCTGTGCCAGTCGGATGAAGCACTATATTCTGCATGACATGAAAAGCTGTCTGGAGCTGGGCAGGCAGCTGGGGCTTGTGCAAGGCCAACACCCAAGACGTCGTGTCCAAAAGCCCGGACGAGGCTCCTTGGCGTGTCACTTTGTGCTCCCGTCTTGCCTTCCGGCTGGAAGGTCTGGCATGCGGTGTATCCTCGGTTGGTATTTGCACCGAGAAGCGTCACCTGGTAGTGTACAAGCCTGCAGCAGCTCTTGCTGGTTCGAAGCTCGAAGCAGCCGAGGAAATGAGCGAATCTTATGGAGGCGGGTTCGTCATGCTTCGTGTGAGAGAGAGAGGAGTGCCCGCTCAGCAGAAGAGGAGAATCACCAGAAGAGGAGGAGCGGCGCCAACAGCTGCAAGAGCCTCGGACGCTTCGGACGAAGGTTGTCCCTGCATGGCTTCGGACAAGGCAAGGTGAAGCAGAACATCCCGAACCTTTCGGCCCGACCTTGAATCATACAGGGCTTTCTGTGCGTGATATCCATAATGAGCTTACAAGACAGGACAGTAGTGCTTACCGGGAGGGCACTCCGGCACAGCATGCGCCATGGCACAGTGGTTAATTTTATCGCTAACGGTAGTCCAAGTCGCGCCCTCCCCCCCCCCCCACCCCCCCCTCCACCCCGCCACCCCCTCCCCCCCCTCCACCGGAACACCCCCCACCCAAATCGCTGGGTTACTGCTCTACTACAACCACCCACACTGATCCAAACGCCTGGGGCCTCCGGCCTCGACGGATTTTCTGCATGAAGGACTGCTGAGTGTTCGGTTGCGGTGTGACGAGTGCGTGGGCTCCAGTTTCCAGTCATGACTGGGATTTGGTCACAGAGCTTGCGCATGAAGACGAAGTCGACCAAGAGAACATGACAAGGCTGACACGATGGCAAGTAACTGCACACCCAAAGAAGGCAGAGCAAGACCATCACCATAACTTTGATCACATCAACCAAGTCGACAGCGGTACAACGCGTGTAAGGGTAAGGGCGATCTGATTCGCGCCCTGAACCTACAAAGCGAGGCGTCGCATGGCCATTATCCACGACCTCCTTACCGGCCGACAAGCAGCTCGAGCCGCGCCCTTGCACCAGTATCAACTTATGATCCGGTCTCACTGCGCTGCAACGGACAGGAAGAGGAGGAGGAGGCCACCAATGAAGCAGAGGAGGAGTCATTGTATTTTTATGCTGTGCTGTGCAGTCAGCAGTTCCTAGAGAGTGGTTTCGGCTGATGCAGTGCACATGAAGGAGGAGGTTCAAGATGGAGCTCAAGAACGTGCTGCAGGGTCCACAGCGCTCCCGGAAGTTGGCCTGTGCGCACGTTGAATGGAGTGACATGAATGTGACATGAAAAGCCAGAAGGCAGAGCATTTGACGGACTACTTAAACATGCTAGGACGGGGACGTCAGTGCCAACTGCGTGCTTAGCTGGTTCGCAGGGCTCGTTCACCACCACCACCACAACCCCAACCCCAATCCCAACCCCAACACCCCAACCGCAACCGCAATTGCAACCACAACCACGACCACAACCACAACCCACAGCCGCAACCACAACCGCAGCCGCAGCGGCAACCCCAACCAAAACCACAACCCAGGAACGACAGCAGCAGCAGCAGCCGCCGCCGTGGCAGCACCAGCACCCATAGTTCTCCGCAGCGGGGTCTTTGCTACCCCCCCACCCTTGCTCTAGCTAAGACGTCGCTGAGGCCCTGGCAGAAGAGCTTGAGGCGGCAGATGCTTCTGAGTCTGAGGAGGAAGCCGAGGTGTCCTGTGCTTTGTTTTGTCATCTGCCTCAGCTTTGGAATCCCACGCGTGCTCTGACAGCACTTCTACATTGCTGCTTGTTCCGCCTAGTCGGCTTGCAATGTCTTCAGCGGTTCCTACTTGCAGCAGATCAAGCTTTCTACCGGTTCTCTACAGAACGGATAGAACTGATCGATTCAGCTTGCCTAGAGTCGGAGCAGAAGATTGAGTCGCGCTTTGATATGCTTTGATCCTTGCAGTGCAGGCACTGCCAATCTTGAATGAAGTCTGAACATGAATTGTTCAACATTTTTGCTTAGCTTCCTCTGCTGCAGATTGCAGTCACCTCTGCATCCTGCGGCATCCTGAGCCAGGCCTCTCTATGACGTCACCATCAAAGTCCGGGTGTTCGTGATATCCAACCAACCCCATGCAGATCCGGAATGAAGGCAGCAGGCGAAAAGGCCATGTCGATCTCTCACGACTTCGTCCCAATGTTCCGAAGAAAGAACATGCTCTCCGCATGTATTCAAGATTCGTGGGCTTATTTAATGGCTGCCGCCAGTGCCGCCGACCCCCAGGGGAGCAGGAACTCGCCGAACCGAGGGTTGGCCACCTCCACGGGCTGAGCGAGGGTGGTGGGGGTAATGGGGGGGGTGTGGGCGGTGAGGGTGCTGGGGGTGATGAGGGCGGTGAGGGCGGTGGGGGTGCGGAGGGGCAGCGGGCATGCATTGGAGGCCTTTA